TTTTCCTCAGAATTTCTCTTTGTGACACCCAGCAGATTTGTGTACACCTTCCTCCTTTACTTTCCTTTAAAATACCTAGAGAGGATCATATTCCAACATTCATCTTCTCTGACCTTGTGAGAAGAATATGTCATTGATTTACTTGGAACTGTATATGTGTGTGATGATTCCAGTGGATTTGAACAGCATGATTCTGATTTGAACAGCATGATGTTTGCACATCTGTGTCGGCTGGTTTTTAGACCACAGTTGGGTAGGTAGGTCACTGATGCTTCTCTCTGCTTGCCATCAGAGTTCTTTCAGAGTAATATATTTTGCTAGGTGTTACTGCACTGTTGGAGCTAGAAACACAAGGATTTCGCTGCACATGCGATAACATCTGCAAATCTAGGTACACGACCAATAAACGTTAATTTGATTCGATTTGATTTCTACCAACGCTTTGAATTTGTTATTATAGTCTGACAGACGTTTTATTATGGTTGCCAAGATAAAGCTGCTTGGTATGTTTATAATTTTGAGTATATAGGCATAAAGGGCTTACGTTAGTGTATACTGATATCAAACTATATTGTTGAAGTGACTCTACAAATATGATTGTCTTAAATTGGATATTCATTGCAAATCATAGGCGGCAGGTAGCCTAGCGGTTAGAGCGTTGGGCCAGTAACTGAAAGGTTGCTGGTTAGAATCCCCAAACCGACAAGGCTCTGTCGATGTGCCATTAAGCAAGGCACTTAACCCTAATTGCTCCTGTAAGTCGCTCTGGATAAGAGAGTCTGCTAAATGACTAAAAATGTAAATGGACCAAAACAGTCAAGCTCTGACTTGACGCATTCTAAAGCAATACAAAAATCATCTGTAAACTGAATTTGCTTACTGTCGTTCTAAAACAAATTACATAATAAAAATATTTTTATGAAACTTGTATGTCATGAGAGAATCATATCATAATTCCCAGATTAAGATATATTTATAGAGAAAAAAAGATTATATCAGTGAATCCCTCCCTGCTAAAGCAGTGACTGCTCTAATAGCCTGGTGAATATTCTCCTAAAGAGCTTTTAACCTGCACATATAGAGCTTTTAATCTGCATAGATAGAGCTTTGAACCTGCATATGTAATGGTGCTGAGTAGTCCTAGCAGCTGCCTGGACAAAACTAACACTGAAATATATTTTAATGTTGTTTCCCAAACGGCACCCTATTATTCCCTATATGAGTGGTGTAAATTGCTGTCCGACATCAAAAAAACTATTAGAAAAAACATTGAATTACATCATGATATATTATCATTCATTCCAAGGCAATAACAAACAATTTTTTATTACCCAATTATTACGTTTTCTCCTCAATGTGATATCCAATTGGTAGTTATAGTCTTGTCCCATCGCTGCAACTCCCGTACGGACACGGGAGAGGCGAAGGTCGAGAGCCTCCGAAACACGACCCCGCCAAGCCGCACTGCTCGCTTAACCCGGAAGCCAGCCGCACCAATGTGTCGGAGGAAACACCGTACAGCTGGCCACCGAAGTCGACATAGCCCGGGATCAAACCCGGATCTGTAGAGACGCCTCTAGCACTGCTATGCAGTGCCTTAGACCGCTGCACTACTCGGGAGGCCCCAACAAACACATTGTTAAATTAATAAAGTACAAAGTCATTGTTTATATACATGATTCTATTGAGAGGTGGCTGTCCCACACTCTGACTCATAAACTTCATGTTTGAAAATAAAGAAATTAATGAATTTGGTCATTTTTGTAACAGTATTATTCAATAGAACATCTTGAGTTGTTCTATTATTTCATTACATTATTACAAGCCACACCCCTACAAATATCAGCAAGTGATGGGATTGCACCCCTCTCCAGCATGGCCACATAGTGAGTAGTCTGTCTGCAAACATTTTCAAGAAAATTAGTGAGCAAGTTGTTAAATCTTAATGTATTTTTTAAAGAAGTGTCAAAACTGAACACCACGGGGGACCAGTAAGAAAAAGTATGAAAATGTATGCACTCACTAATGTAAGACGCTCTGGATAAGAGTGTCTGCTAAATGACTAAAATGTAAAAATGTATGGTTTTGCTGGGATCTGTCCAAATGAAAGCTAGCCAGCCAAATACTATCTATAGTGATTCATTAAAGTCCAAACCGAAACGGTCACAAACGAAACAATTGACACCATAGAGATATAAAGAAGTCTCATCTTTGTATCTGTGCCATTATGGTGTCTGTGACAGCAGGCAGTGCCATTGAGGCTATCTCCATTTGAAAGTTCAAGTGCCGTGCTCTACCGAGCTACAGAGTACCACCATGTGGGTAGTGGACAAGTGCACACTTCAGGAAAAGGTGTAGAGTATTGAGATGCATAGCAAGCAGGGTCTCCAACCCTCCAAGAGCCCAAACATTGACATATTTTTCGACCAAAAATAGACGTCTATAATGTACTGTACTTTTTTGTATTGTATTGTACGGTACCGTACTGTACCCTACTCTACTGTACTGTACTCTACTTTACTGTACTTTACTGTACTTTACTCTACTTTACTGTACTTTACTGTACTTTACTGTACCCTACTCTACTGTACTGTACTGTACCCTACTCTACTGTACTGTACTCTACTCTACTGTACTGTACCCTACTCTACTCTACTGTACTCTACTCTACTGTACTGTACTCTACTCTACTGTACTGTACCCTACTCTACTCTACTGTACTCTACTTTACTGTACTTTACTGTACTTTACTGTACTCTACTCTACTGTACTGTACTCTACTCTACTGTACTGAACTCTACTTTACTGTACTTTACTGTACTTTACTGTACTCTACTCTACTCTACTGTACTCTACTCTACTGTACTGTACTCTACTCTACTGTACTGTACCCTACTCTACTCTACTGTACTCTACTTTACTGTACTTTACTGTACTTTACTGTACTCTACTCTACTGTACTTTACTCTACTCTACTGTACTGTACTCTACTCTACTGTACTGAACTCTACTTTACTCAAGTTTCTTACAAATTATATATATATTTTTTATAATATAGATTATATAATTCATGGATTATGTTTTAAATGCTCATAAAAGTGTGGTAAATGTGTACATTTTCCTGTCTCAAAAATATATTGTTCAAAACCAGCTGTTCAGGTACTTACTACTCTGCCCCTCAGTGACTGCCAGCAGCAGCAGCTCCGCCTCCATGGGCGCATAGGCCGTGCGAACATTGCTTGGATTGTTTTGCCAGCTATTCGCTATGAGGGAGAACTGCCCCAATGAAATCACAGGATTTCATAGCATAAATTATAACAGCACAAAGTAAATGGACCGTCCTGGGGCACTCAAATGTGGACTCAGTCAGAACTTCTGGGTCTGCTCTAGTCTCCCTCCCAATGAGTCTCTCGCGCCAGACGGCTTACTTCTACTCTATCAGGTACAGATGGCGCTAAAGCAAAAGCTAATTGTAATTAACTTGTAAGTAAATAATCATAACAGTCATGGGAGCCTGGGACCTGATAAACCAGACAACTACATCCAACAAGAGTCGAAAGACAGAGGGACACACTAGCTAGAACCTTCTCATCGCAGAAGCATGGCCAATTCTATTGTTTCACCCCATGTTGTTCACCAGGTTCTACTGTAGGTGACAGGGCGACATGTTGTGTGGAATAAAACATTATAAAATGAATTAGCCGGCTACAGTAATTTGAGAAACATTAAGAAATAGTTTGGTGGATTTTTTGGTCAAATTAACCAGATATCTACCTTTGGTAGCTTGTTGCTACTTAGCTCCCATGCTAATTTCAAGTCTTTCTGAACTAATACAGTATCTGACTAACTCGAAAAGATGAAGTTATTTCAGAATGAAAGTTAACTTGCTAGAGCATCATGCTTTGTGACATTATGTAGCTAGCTATCCCCAGTTAGATAATGTATTTTCACTTTTTGCATCTGCATGCTTGTTGCGTTCTCCCTGGTGCACTCATTAGTGTGTTCGTGACGTGAGCTGGCTGCTCGTTCTAAATAGTATAATCTAATCTGTTCCAAACAGTGGCAGCATGTGCAGCAGTGGTCATTCGGTTTTTGACATGCGAAAGTGAAATAGGTGTGTTTATGCTGTTGTTCAAATGCACATATCGCTTTATATATCTTCTCAAAGAAACTACCTGTAGTTTGAAAACTTGGCATTACATTTCTGTCATGCTGCTTTGTTGACAACTCCAACCACCTCACGCCCTGGGTATTCAGACAATCAGCGGCCACCACTGCTAACAATGAAAGAAAGTCTTAATCTAGTGGTCTTGGTCTTGAAACCACTTGAGACCTCATAAATTCAGTCTTTTAACTCGTCATGGTCTCAACTCAGTGGGTCTGGGTCTGGATCTTGGGACCAATGTCCTGGTTTAAATCTTGGTCTTGGCTCATGATTTCGGACAAGACCTTAGTCTTTGGTTAAGAAACCATAGGCAACCCAACTTGAAGAAGAAGACAATGCTCTCTGATCATTGGCTGATCGCTCCCAACCCATAAGAATCTCCATCCAGTGGACTACTTTAAAATGATGGAAGCCCTCAATGGCAATATATCCATCTAGAGTCCTCTATATATCTCTATGATTGACACATGACACCGAAACGCCTGTTATTTGCCAGAATAAAGTTAGGAAAAGTGACAATGTATACATCTAGCAACATAATTATTTAGATGCATAAGTAATTCAATCAATCAATAGGTTTCAGATTCATACAATCAACATTGAACATTTTACAGAGAACAATAGAGGTGATATTTCTCTAAATTAAATTTAAAGGTTTGAAAATCTGGTTAAAAATCATGTTTTTACTATTTAGTAAATGTTGTATGCAAATAAAATGTATAAAATGAATCTGATCAATACTGTGCATGGTTCTCCCTTTATTGCAACTCTTTCAGTATGTTTCAATAGTGACAAATTTAGTGCCTGATAAGCAATTTAGGACAATATTTCAAACATGCAATACAAACAAAGTGTGTGAGTAGTAGATATGTCTATCTGACATATGTTGGAAGAGATGTGCGCTAAAAGTTTGGGGAAAATGAAAATAAAACATTGCACCACTTCTGTAGAATCACCCATATAGTGCACTACTTTTGACCAGGGCCTTATCATACTGTACTTCCCACTTTCAAGCAATGCTTAAACAATGCTCTGTTCAGCAATACTACAAACAAGTGGACGAGTGCTGTTCCAAATGGATTCTAGTGTTATTTTTTAAGATGTCTCAATGCACAGGGGACTTGGGAAACTCTTCTGATGAGCTGTTGGAATGGGCTATCATGTTGGAAATAGTCTCCTTTACATCTAATCGTTCTCGTTTTTCTTATAGATTCATACGAGAAGTACCATCGACTGTACAAGGACGTCAAAAAGTTGGCAGGTAAGAATCCTTCATCTAAATACAGTGTTACAGAAAGAGTTTAGTCGAGAGGATCTGATTGAGGGGAACAAAGCAACTATCACCATAGGATTATTTACTTGGTTATTTATTTATTTAAAGCCCTATTCGGAAGGGATAAGATTTAATGGGGAAACTCAGGTAATGTAATTTTGTGAACGAGCACAAATCACCACATTCGTCATTTTAGTTCCGTCCGAATCTGCCATGTCAGTAATTTTTACTTGGCAGGGAGGTTATTATCCCAGCCCTAAAATCCTACTGTTTTTCGGCAAACTCCCAGGTCCTCTGATAATACTTATCCCGTGCGAATCGTCATCCCTGTGTTTTGAGGGATATTACAGAGGTTAACAGGTGCTGCACCCAGTTTCGGTAAGAACATGGGAAAAAATGTATGTCAGTCTGTTTGTGCTATCATGCCAACTTCTCGTCACTCATTGTCATGCTAAACATGTTTGGCTTGACAATGACAGCAGTGGAATTGGCAAGAGCACAAACAAATCTGGGACTAGCCAGTATGCTATAGAGGTTCAGAGACAATGACAAGAAGTGTAATTTTAAACATTGATTGTTTCATTGATCATGTTTCTCCACTCCTCACAGCCCTATACTGAGAAGAAGTACAGATATGACCAAAACCACCATGACAAAGTCAGAGCAGCTCTTAAGCATAAATGACCACGACTTCACAATGAGGCCTGGCTTTGGAGGTGAGATTTTTTTACGGTGCTTTACTGTGTGACGTACAAATCAGAATCATCATCATCGGCAACATTCTACAGTTCACTGATATTTGCTGACAACTCTTACTTAATCATGACTCATCGTTAAGTGTAAGTCTTGCATCTAAACATTTCAGAAAAATTCTAGCTGTTTTTACTCAAATTAAGATTTGGCCGTTATCAGTTCTTAGAACTCAGGAAATCCATCAAATCCATGTATACTTGTCACATGCTTTGTAAACAACAGGTATAGACTAACAGTGAAATGTTTACTTACGGGCCCTTCCCAAGGACCCCATGGGGAGCAGATACATTAGAAGCGGATGTACACTTATGGGTCGTTCCATCTCAAAAAGCACAAGAAAGAGGATTTCGACAACCACCAACTCAGATTGTTCTGAAATTGTTTCTGTTGTTAGAAACAGATAACATTATTTTGTTGAAATGTAATTTGATGTCTGAGAAATTAAGCTAATTGATTGCACCCAAATTGGCTATTTACATTTATAGGATTCATATAATATTCAATAAATATAGTACCTAACATCCGATTTGGACCACTTTTTTTTTAAACAATGAGTTATAATAATAAATATAATATGCCATTTAGCAGACGCTTTTATCCAAAGCGACTTACAGTCATAGACATGAGGAATCCAAATAAATGGTCAAAAGCCACTCACGGACCCTCCACACCCCACGTCAATCCCACTCCAACAACGAGTATAGAGTATCAGTTCTCTATGTCTGACAAGTAGTATGGAGCTGCAGCTCGGAGTATTGTTTCTTCATCCTATGAAATGTATTCCCAGTGAATTCGTTGATGCTAAAGATACCATTGACTTGCATTGGATTTGTGCCACAAATGCTAAACAGTTAGCATTTTAAACAGTGGCCAGGTAAACAAAACCAAAGCATGGGTTGATGTCATACATTTACATTTACATTTTAGTCATTTAGCAGACGCTCTTATCCAGAGCGACTTACAGTTAGACCATGTCCATTAACTGCTTCCATGGTAAGGAAACCAATATGTCATTTTGTATTTTGTATATATAATACAAGTAGTCCTTGTGCATAGAGTTGTATGGTTTGTTAAACTTTGAAATCAATGGATTTTGTTTTGCATACATTTAAAAATGGAAAACCAGAGTCTCAGCGTTATTCTGTTACCGTGGAATTGGGTTGGGCAACCCTGCCCTAGACCCACTTCAATTTGCATACCGCCCCAACAGATCCACAGATGACACAATCGCCATTGCACTACACACTGCCGTATCCCACCTGGACAAGAGAAATACCTATGTAAGAATGCTGTTCATCGACTACAGCTCAGCCTTCAATACCATAGTGCCCTTCAAGGTCATCATTAAGCTCAGATCCCTGGGTCTGAACCCCTCCCTGTGCAACTGGGTCCTGGACTTCCTGATGGGCGAGTGGTGAAGGTAGGCAACAACACCTCCGCCATGATGATCCTCAACACGGGGGCCCCACAGGGGTGCATGCTCAGCCCCCTCCTGCATGCGTGGCCACGCATGTCTCCAACTCAATCATCAAGTTTGCTGATGACACAACAGTGGTAGGCCTGATTACCAACAATGACTAGACAGCCAACAGGGAGGAGGTGAGAGCCCTGGCGGAGTGGTGCCAGGGGGGGCCTGCCATCCAGGACATCTACAGCACCCTGTTTCAAAGGAAGGCCAAGAAGATCATCATGGACCTCAGTCACCTGAACCACAGACTGTTTACTCGGCTTCTATTACCAGACCAACAGACTGTTGAACAGCTTCTATTACCAGACCAACAGACTGTTGAACAGCTTCTATTACCAGACCATCAGACTGTTGAACAGCTTCTATTACCAGGCCATTAGACTGTTGAACAGCTTCTATTACCAGGCATCAGACTGTTGAACAGCTTCTATTACCAGACCAACAGACTGTTGAACAGCTTCTATTACCAGACCAACAGACTGTTGAACAGCTTCTATTACCAGGCCATCAGACTGTTGAACAGCTTCTATTACCAGACCAACAGACTGTTGAACAGCTTCTATTACCAGACAAACAGACTGTTGAACAGCTTCTATTACCAGACCAACAGACTGTTGAACAGCTTCTATTACCAGACCAACAGACTGTTGAACAGCTTCTATTACCAGACCAACAGACTGTTGAACAGCTTCTATTACCAGACCAACAGACTGTTGAACAGCTTCTATTACCAGACCAACAGACTGTTGAACAGCTGCTATTACCAGACCAACAGACTGTTGAACAGCTTCTATTACCAGACCAACAGACTGTTGAACAGCTGCTATTACCAGACCAACAGACTGTTGAACAGCTTCTATTACCAGACCAACAGACTGTTGAACAGCTTCTATACCAGACCAACAGACTGTTGAACAGCTTCTATTACCAGACCAACAGACTGTTGAACAGCTTCTATTACCAGACCAACAGACTGTTGAACAGCTTCTATTACCAGACCAACAGACTGTTGAACAGCTTCTATTACCAGACCAACAGACTGTTGAACAGCTTCTATTACCAGACCAACAGACTGTTGAACAGCTTCTATTACCAGACCATCAGACTGTTGAACACCACTAGCCGTCTACCAGGTGATGCACACTTACTCACACAAAACACACACACAAGCTATCACACACGCACCTACACACACACTCACATACACACTCACAGCCAACGCTGCTGTCCCATGTTATAGAGACATTGAACCACTGGTCACTCCCGTGTCACACTATGTATTTAAATACTGTATACCGGACATAGCTTATTCTAATATTTCTAATACTGTACATTTTAGTTACACTGTTTATACACACCTTATATACTGGATTCTTGACATGGCTCACTGTAATATATCTACTGCTATACATATAATTGTTAGTTTAGCTTGTGAGAGAATGCCAAGAGTGTGCAAAGCTGTCATCAAGGCAAAGGGTGGCTCTTTGAAGAATCTCAAATTAAAAGTATATTTTTATTTGTTTTGGTTACTACATGATTCCATATGTGTTATTTCATAGTTTTGATGTCTTCACTATTATTCTACAATGTAGAAAATAGTAAAAATAAAGAAAAACCCTTGAATGAGTATGTGTCCAACCTTTTGACTGGTACTGTAAGAGATATGAATAAATGTTTTTTTTTGTTACCTCATTGGATACACAAACAAAATGAGTGGTTCCTTTTTAAATCCCCTTAAGGGAGATGAGCTCTTTCAGCTGTCTGCAATATGAAATTTCAACCCAGGGAGGATTATAAAATGCACCCACTAAATATTGGAGAGCCTCCAGATATGTTTGTGTCTGGTACGGCTGAGTTGGTTTTTGGAACACTGTGGCCTAATTTGTTTTGTTTTTTTGCAGGGCACTGGATGAAGGGGACGAAAGGAGCAAAAGCTCATTGTTTTAAATAGAATTGTCTAGATAAAAATGTCCCCTAAATACAGCTACGTAATCCAGACAGTTTTTATTACATTGTTACAACAATGGAGAGATAATCTTAGCAAGCTATTGACCTTTTTGTTTTTGTCTATGTTGATTTGCGTACTATCAGGGACATTTCTAGGATTTGAGAACATTGGGGGCTTAGCCCAAAACCAGAGGGGAACCCTGGTAGGGGGTTCCGGGGGCTTCCTCCCCCAGAATAATAGATTTGGAATTTTAACAGCTAAATGCATCAATATGGTGCACTTTGAGATGAGCATTGAGAGATTAGATCTACTAAGAATTTTGTTTAAAAAAATAAATAAAATAAAAAATAAAAAATTCACTCATGCCAATTTAACTATCAAAAATGAGCGCAAGGGCCCTGTTCCAAAATATCACCTTTTTTAAATGACCGCGGTTCCACACATGGTGCAGTCTGGGAAGAAATATCCTTTCTATTTCATTCTGTAATATTCCATTATATTATTACTATAAAATGTCATATGTGTGTGTTGACTGTGATAAGGGCATGGGAATATAAGTGTGTATTGTCTGCTAATAGGATGTGTTCGTAAATTCACTCTGGCAATCTACTCCGAGTTCAGAGCATTCTGGTTTGAGAGTGCCAGACTCTGGTTTGAGAGTGCCAGAGTGCAGAATAATGGATGAATTTACAAACTACATGTCGTGCCTGTTGTTATGACAGGTGCCAGTAAACATCAGCTAAAAATGTAATTAAATTGTTGCCAGTAACACAGTTACAATCACTAACCCTCTTGATAACATGACAAGTCTTACCAGCTCTGCTAGGGCAAGTAAAATGGTCAGAGTGAGCTGTTTTCTGAACTTCTCTGTGTCTGTAAAGTAGCTAGCAAGCTAGCCAATGTTAGCCAGTTAGCTTGGGTGCTTGACTGACGTAAATAAACAAATGAACTATACACCTACCTACCCCAACCATTAACAACTTAAGCTATTTATGGAAACAAGTTACATTACCGTTAAGATATCTGAATGGTTTTGTTTACTTATGTATTATGTTTATTGTTTTAATTCAGTTAAGATTTGAGTTGTGTATCTTTGCAGGACATACTGTTCAAGTTGGAGTTGATGTTCAGGTAGAAAGTCTGGACACAATCTCAGAAGTTGACATGGTAAGTGTTTCTATACTTTCTGTGAGCTGTGATGTTAACCAAAATAAAGCTGTCCTCAATAGATGCATAGATCATCCATGAAAGGATGCCTACTTTAATTTGACGAATTGGAAAGAAGAGGGGAAGACATTTATAGTGTATCCCATTCATTGCGGTTATTAATATGAGATCGCTTTGTTGAAATTCCAGCATTGTTATGCTGCGTGTTTCAGGACATCACCATGACCCTGTATATTCCAGCATTGTTATTCTCTGTGTTTCAGGACTTCACCATGACCCTGTATATTCCAGCATTGTTATGCTCTGTGTTTCAGGACTTCACCATGACCCTGTATATTCCAGCATTGTTATGCTCTGTGTTTCAGGACTTCACCATTACCCTGTATATTCCAGCATTGTTATGCTCTGTGTTTCAGGACTTCACCATGACCCTGTATATTCCAGCATTGTTATGCTCTGTGTTTCAGGACTTCACCATGACCCTGTATATTAGGCACTACTGGAAAGACGAGCGCCTCTCTTTCCACAGCACCACCAATAAGAGCATGACCTTTGATGGGCGCCTGGTCAAGAAGATCTGGGTGCCAGACCTGTTCTTTGTCCACTCCAAGAGGTCTTTCACACACGACACCACCACAGATAATGTCATGCTGAGAGTCTACCCTGATGGCAAGGTGCTCTACAGCTTAAGGTAATTCACCTGGTCAGAGTTGAACATTGGTTTTGTTCTTTGCTCCATGGTTGACCATTGATACTGGTATAATACACTGCTCAAAAAAATAAAGGGAACACTAAAATAACACATCCTAGATCTGAATGAATGAAATAATCTTATTAAATACTTTTTTCTTTACATAGTTGAATGTGCTGACAACAAAATCACACAAAAATTATCAATGGAAATCAAATGTATCAACCCATGGAGGTCTGGATTTGGAGTCACCCTCAAAATTAAAGTGGAAAACCACACTACAGGCTGATCCAACTTTGATGTAATGTCCTTAAAACAAGTCAAAATGAGGCTCAGTAGTGTGTGTGGCCTCCACGTGCCTGTATGACCTCCCTACAACGCCTGGGCATGCTCCTGTTGAGGTGGCGGATGGTCTCCTGAGGGATCTCCTCCCAGACCTGGACTAAAGCATCCGCCAACTCCTGGACAGTCTGTGGTGCAACTTGGCGTTGGTGGATGGAGCGAGACATGATGTCCCAGATGTGCTCAATTGGATTCAGGTCTGGGGAACGGGCGGGCCAGTCCATAGCATCAATGCCTTCCTCTTGCAGGAACTGCTGACACACTCCAGCCACATGAGGTCTAGCATTGTCTTGCATTAGGAGGAACCCAGGGCCAACCGCACCAGCATATGGTCTCACAAGGGGTCTGAGGATCTCATCTCAGTACCTAATGGCAGTCAGGCTACCTCTGGCGAGCACATGGAGGGCTGTGCGGCCCCCCAAAGAAATGCCACCCCACACCATGACTGACCCACTGCCAAAACGGTCATGCTGGAGGATGTTGCAGGCAGCAGAACGTTCTCCACGGCGTCTCCAGACTCTGTCACGTCTGTCACGTGCTCAGTGTGAACCTGCTTTCATCTGTGAAGAGCACAGGGCGCCAGTGGCTAATTTGCCAATCTTGGTGTTCTCTGGCAAATGCCAAACGTCCTGCACGGTGTTGGGCTGTAAGCACAACCCCCACCTGTGGACGTCGGGCCCTCATACCACCCTCATGGAGTCTGTTTCTGACCGTTTGAGCAGACACATGCACATTTGTGGCCTGCTGGAGGTCATTTTGCAGGGCTCTGGCAGTGCTCCTACTGCTCCTCCTTGCACAAAGGTGGAGGTAGCAGTCCTGCTGCTGGGTTGTTGCCCTCCTACGGCCTCCTCCACGTCTCCTGATGTACTGGCCTGTCTCCTGGTAGCGCCTCCATGCTCTGGACACTACGCTGACAGACACAGCAAACCTTCTTGCCACAGCTCGCATTGATGTGCCATCCTGAATGAGCTGCACTACCTGAGCCACTTGTGTGGGTTGTAGACTCCGTCTCATGCTACCACTAGAGTGAAAGCACCGCCAGCATTCAAAAGTGACCAAAACATCAGCCAGGAAGCATAGGAACTGAGAAGTGGTCTGTGGTCACCACCTGCAAAACCAGTCCTTTATTGGGGGTGTCTTGCTAATTGCCTATAATTTCCACCTGTTGTCTATTCCATTTGCACAACATCATGTGACATTTATTGTCAATCAGTGTTGCTTCCTAAGTGGACAGTTTGATTTCACAGAAGTGTGATTGACTTGGAGTTACATTGTGTTGTTTAAGTGTTCCCTTTATTTTTTTGAGCAGTGTAGAATGGGTTTGGTGAACCACACTTGCACGATGAGTAACCTTGCCTGAGACTGGAAAACTTGTGTTAATAATAATGGATTGGATTTATATAGCGCCTTTCTACCTACTGAGGTACTCAAAGCGCTTTACATAGTCACCTCATCCACCATCAAAGCTAGGCATCAGCAGGCTTAGACAGTTTTGTGGCACACAAAATACCCTTGTGAACTCTAGTGGGTACAGTAGCTTGTTATGTAAAATAAGTCCAAACAAAGACAAAGCTTACGAATTATGGGTGAAATGAGCTAGCTAGGTCTGATCACTGTTTGGAGTGGAATCAACTGAAGAGAAGCGTGTGCTGTTGTAAACACTAGTCTTTGCCAACTGACTATTTATCCCCAAAGTGATTTCATTACGCAAATCACATAACTGCCAGCTGAGGCAGGCTAAATTCAACCCTTTCATGCTTTTCTTTTAACCATTAGCAATTCACAAATAAAAAAATGCTGTGATGCTGTTATGGATCAGGGTCCTGGCAAATGTATATCTCCTGACCAAATAGAAGTGCAGCTTGTATTTCATGACAACATCATTGAATGGATGTGATGAGAAACTGTTTGTCAGTAAAGTATAGTAAAGCTGCAGACAGAGAGTGAGTTTGTCATTTTGGTGAGTTATCAGAATGCTGGAGCCAAGAGAGACTTGTAATCCACGGTTGGTCCATTTGAGAGGCTTGGCAACAAGAGCCAGGATCAAGATGTCTGTGTCAGTAGCTCCCTCTGCTGGCAGTCAGAACACACTGCATACAGTCTTATTGCACCTGTGGGCACTGATAGTAAGTAGCGTCATTAACAATTCCATCACTGGTGGTGTCAGCGGTCATGCTAAGAGAATGGTGCAAATAGCCATAAATAGCCATCAAGACAGACTCTGGTCTTGGGACTGTGAACTATGCCCTGGTATACACATAGGCCATCTGTAAATACCAATCTTGAGGTGGATTATACGATTTCTCTGTTCTTCCAGATGTATAGGACTTGTGGAGGGACAGGTTGGTGTGTGTTCTACTGTAGATACAATGCAGGCTCATCAGTAGGGTTAATCTCTCCGGGGGTTGGAACCGGAGATTTATTTTCCAGACAGGAGCAGATTGGGAGGGTAACTTCCTGTTTACTGTATGTGGACCTTCCTCCCAGAGGATCTGTGTAGCGGTGGGTCTCTTCTACACTGTGCTGGATTATCTTTGCTATTTTCATATATTCATCCCTGACCTGGGGGCTCCAAATCTCCTCAAACCCCTGACTCTGCGTGTATCTGTCTGAAATATAATGAAACAATAAGGCCCGAGGGGCTTTGGTATATGGCTAATATACCACGGCTAAGGGCTGTTCTTATGCACGACCCAACGTGGAGTGCCTGGATACAGCCCTTAGCCGTGGTATATTGGCAATATGCCTCAAACCCCCAAGGTGCCTTATTGCTATTATAAACTGGTTACCAACATAATTAGAGCAGTAAAAATACATGTATTGTCATACCCATGGTATATGGTCTGATATACTACAGCTGTCAGCCAATCAGCATTAAGGGCTCGAACCACCCAGTTGATAATATACAACAACACATATTAACCCACATCCCCTACTGATTACTCTTTGCCATTATTGTATTATACTACATTGCTCTGTGCAGTGGCGATTTTAGCATATAAATCTTGCTGGGGCAAACTCCCCCCGAAAAAAATGTATGCATGCCGGCAAAGCCACTACACAGCACAACACTAAACAATACATTAATTGCACTATAACGGTGATCAGTGGTGATTTTAGCATGTAAATCTTGGTGGGGCAAACTCCCCCCAAAATGTTTTGATGCATGCCAGCAAAGCCACTACACAACACAACACAACACTAAACAATACATTAATTGCACTGTAGGCCCCCACAAACTGTTAGGGTCTACATAAAGCTGTCCCAACAGCAGAGCTTTCTTTTCAGCACCATGGAGGGAATCCTTACCACCGCTACACCTGGCTATCAGCGGAGCCTTGTCTGGCAGCAAAACAGTTCATTCAGGCTAATTTACTGCCATTTAAAAAAACATAGCTGATATGGCTGACTTGCTTAAACAAATGTGGTTTCTACTGACAATTGAGATGTACAAACAAACTATGACATAAGGGGACGACGAGCGGATAAGAGGCAATCCGTAATTTCGATTAAGACATTCATGAGCAAGCTAGGACGGACGTAGTCAATATAACTATTTGTTCAGCACTTTTGAAATGTACAGCGACAGAATTCAGAACATGGGCCGTTCTTACAGTATTCTCCCTGTACACCAAGTCAGAACCATAGGATAAATAAAGGGGGCATATAAGCAGACAATGAAAGCTCTTACAATATTCGATGATGACATTTCTCCAAAACAGGCTATAGGCTACATGTGCACCACCAAGTCAGAACAGGAGGCTAAATTATGAGAGAGAAAGGGACCAAATTATTAGGTTGAGGCACATGGGCTACTAACAGCTTACGAAACAACATACACTTAGTATTACTTTCTTAGCTACAGTATACATATCTCCCTGGCATATTACATAATTTATGCAGCAGCATACAATACATTTTTGGACTCACCTTGTTGTGCTGTGCTCACTTGAACAGGAAGGTGGCGCAACTGTAATCGTGGGCAAATTTTGTCATCAAAGTCTGGCATTCTCTGGATTTATGGTGCTTTCAAGACAACTGGGAACTCGAGAAAAAAAAAACAAGGTTGAATCATGACGTCAGTGATGTTCAGGTCGGAGCTGTAGAAAGAGGCCCGAGTTCCCGACTTGGAATTCCGAGTTGGATGACCATTCAAAACGTATTTTCCCAGTCAGAGCTAGTGTTTTTCAGAGTTCCCAGTTGTCTTGAACTCAGTGAAGTCTGAGATTTCCCAGTTCCGAGTTTCCAGTTGTTTTGAACGTGGCAGAAGTCATGCTGGATTGACAGCATGGCCAATGTATTCAACTTTTTATGGCCAATGGTGTTGAATGTTTATCCTTTTAAGCTTGGAAAAGAGACCCTTAAACCCAGACTTGGACAACACACCACTCCACTGAATAGTAGGCTAGTGATTGCTTTGCAACGCTTGCAGTTAGCCACTGATTCCTTCCAAACCACTCATTGTTGAATTCTCGATTTCAAACGTATGTAATGTTTATGTCCAATGGCCAATGAGCACCAATACGTTTTATCTATAATTTCTCTTCAGAATTTCTCTTCATATAACAAGGATTGAAAAGGATTTGCCAGTAGATTGTCGACTTGATTCATGATGATGACTGCTAGCTTGCTAGCTAAGATTTTGAAAGTATGACGTTGACATGATCAGTCCAATCAAAGCTACGGTAGATATAACTTGATTTGACGTAATTTCATCTGTGGCCAATGACCTTGAGCTTTCTTGGATGGGCACTTCTAATGTAACTCTATGGCAGCACCCAAGGGGCTTGAATTTTCGAGCTCTACCCATAGATTTTGCGGCGACATAGGGTGACAGAACACTGAGCCAATCACGGCGCAACTAGAGAACATTACCAACCCCTACTCTCCGTATTGGCTACCCCACCACCACAGAAAGCACTGAGCTAGGCTGAAACACCTGCATTTTGGAGCTGCCTTACTCAAGAAAGCAAAAAAGAGACCATGTTTATATGCGGCTTTATTAACTCAATGATTATTTTTTTTACATTTTTGCAAACTGATATGTGACAGGTATTAATGCAAAAATAACATGCAGGTGGGGCTAAACATGTGGGGCTCAAAACAGGTGGGGCCGTGAATGACGGGTCGCCACTGGCTCTGTGTATTGCTTGACCAATAGACTACTCAGCTTAGCCTGAGTACCAGTCTGTTTGTGCTATAATGTCAACTCCTTGTTACTCATTGTCATGCCTGCAACGTAGACGCAGGGAGTCAGGAAGCAGGTGCAGATGGTCAGTTTAATAATAACAAACATGGAGAGTTACAAAACAAGAGAAGCATCTGGACATGAAAACTGAACCAATACTGCCTGAAGAGTGATGCTAGGGAGTGCTAGATAAAGGGGCAATAATCAGGGTAGTGATGGAGTCCAGATGTGCCTCATGATGGGTTGCCAGGTGCGTAATGAGGGTTGCCAGGTGTGCGTACTGATGGGTTGCCAGGACCGGTGGTTAGTAGACCGTTGAGCGCCGGAGAGGGAGAGGGGGAGCGGGAGTAGACGTGACAATGTCAAACATTGGCTTGGCAATGACTGCAATGGAGCTGGCAAAAGCACAAACAGATCAGGGTATACTCAACTGTCCATGTTGTGTTCTCATGCAGGGTGACGGTGACATCCATGTGCAGTATGGACCTGAGTCGCTTCCCTCTGGACACACAGACCTGCTCCCTGGAGATCGAGAGCTGTGAGTCTCCGCTCTAATGATGTCACTTCCCTTTTGACTCTTTCTCTTCTGTCACATTCAAATCGTAATATACAGTGCCTTGCAAAAGTATTCATCCCCCTTGGCGTTTTTCCTATTTTGTTACATTACAACCTGCAATTTAAATGGATTTTTATTTAGATTTCATGTAAAGGACATACACAAAATAGTCCAAATTGGTGAAGTGAAATAAATAAAAATACTTGTTTCAAAAAACTCTAAAGAATAAATAACGGAAAAGTGGTGCGTGCATATGTATTCACCCCCTTTGCTATGAAGCCCCTAAATAAGATCTGGTGCAACCAATTACCTTCAGAAGTCACATAATTTGTTAAATAAAGTCCACCTGTGTGCAATCTAAGTGTCACATGATCTGTCACATGATCTCAGTATACAGCTAAAGTCTGAAGTTTACATACTCCTTAGCCAAATACATTTAAACTCAGTTTTTCACAATTCCTGACATTTAATCCTAGTAAAAAATTCCCTGTCTTAGGTCAGTTAGGATCATCACTTTATTTTAAGAATGTGAAATGTCAGAATAATAGTAGAGAGAATGATTTATTTCAGCTTTTATTCCTTTCATCACATTCCCAGTGGGTCAGAAGTTTACATACGCTCAATTAGTATTTGGTAGCATTGCCTTTAAATTGTTTATCTTGGGTCAAATGTTTCGGGTAGCCTTCCATAAGCTTCCCACAATAAGTTGGGTGAATCTTGGCCCATTCCTCATGACAGAGCTGGTGTAACTGAGTCAGGTTTGGAGGCCTCCTTGCTCGCACATGCTTTTTCAGTTCTGCCCACACATTTTCAATAGGATTGAGGTCAGGGCTTTGTGATGGCCACTCCAATACCTTGACTTTGTTGTCCTTAAGCCATTTTGCCACAACTTTGGAAGTAGGCTTGGGGTCATTGTCCATTTGGAAGACCCATTTGCGACCAAGCTTTAACTTCCTGACTGATGTCTTGAGATGTTGCTTCAATATATCCACATCATTTTCCTTCCTCATGATGCCATCTATTTTGTGAAGTGCACCAGTTCCTTCTGCAGCAAAGCACCCCAACAGCATGATGCTGCCACCCCCGTGCTTCACGGTTGGGATGGTGTTCTTCGGCTTGCAAGCCCCCACCTTTTTCCTCCAAACATAATGATGGTCATTATGGCCAAACAGTTCTATTTTGTTTCATCAGACCAGAGGACATTTCTCCAAAAAGTACGATCTTTGTCCCCATGTGCAGTTGCAAACCGTAGTCTGGCTTTTTTATGGCGGTTTTGGAGCAGTGGCTTCTTCCTTGCTGAGCGGCCTTTCAGGTTATGTCGATATAGGACTCGTTTTACTGTGGATATAGATACTTTTGTACCTGTTTCCTCCAGCATCTTCACAAGGTCCTTTGCTGGTGTTCTGGGATTGATTTGCACTTTTCACACTAAAGTACGTTAATCTCTAGGAGACAGAACGCGTCTCCTTCCTGAGCGGTATGACGGCTGCATGGTCCCATGGTGTTTATACTTACTATTATTGCGTACTATTGTTTGTACAGATGAACGTGGTACCTTCAGGCATTTGGAAATTGCTCCCAAGGATGAACCAGACTTGTGGAGGTCTACAAATTTTTTTTCTGAGGTCTTGGCTGATTTCTTTTGATTTTCCCATGATGTCAAGCAAAGAGGCACTGAGTTTGAAGGTAGGCCTTGAAAAACATCCACAGGCACACTCCAATTGACTAAAATGATGTCAATTAGCCTATCAGAAGCTTCTAAAGCCATGACATCATTTTCTGGAATTTTCCAAGCTGTTTAAAGGCACAGTCAACTTAGTGTATGTAAACTTCTGAACCACTGGAATTGTGATACAGTGAATTATAAGTGAAATTATCTGTCTGTAAACAATTGTTGGAAAAATTACTTGTTTCATGCACAAAGTAGATGTCCTAACTGACTTGCCAAAACTATAGTTTGTTAACAAGAAATGTGTGGAGTGGTTGAAAAATGAGTTTTAATGACTCCAACCTAAGTGTATGTAAACTTCCTGTACATACACATGTTCTGAAAGGCCCCAGAGTCTGCAACACCACTAAGCAAGGGGCACTACCAAGCAAGTGGCACCATGAAGACCAAGGAGCTCTCCAAACAGGTCAGGGACAAAGTTGTGGCGAAGTACAGATCAGGGTTGGGTTAAAAAAAATAATCAAAAATGTTGAACATCCCACAGAGCACCATTCAATCCATTATTAAAAAATTTAAAGAACATGGCACCACAACAAACCTGCCAAGAGAGGGCTGCCCACCAAAACTCACGGACCAGGCAAGGAGGGCATTAATCAGAGAGGCAACAAAGAGACCAAAGATAACCCTGAAGGAGCTGCAAAGCTCCACAGCGGAGATTGGAGTATCTGTCCATAGGACCACTTTAAGCCGTACACTCCCACAGAGCTGGGCTTTACTGAAGAGTGGCCAGAAAACAGCCATTGCTTAAAGGGTTGAATAATTATGCGCGCTCAAGTTTTCTGTTTTTTTGTAAAATCCATTTAAATTCCAGGTTGTAAGGCAACAAAATAGGAAAAATGCCAAGGGGGGTGAATACTTTCGCAAGCCACTGTAATGTACAGTGGGGGAAAAAAGTATTTAGTCAGCCACCAATTGTGCAAGTTCTCCCACTTAAAAAGATGAGAGAGACCTGTAATTTTCATCATAGGTACACGTCAACTATGACAGACAAATTGAGAAAAACAATTCCAGAAAATCACATTGTAGGATTTTTAATGAATTTATTTGCAAATTATGGTGGAAAATAAGTATTTGGTCACCTACAAACAAGCAAGATTTCTGGCTCTCACAGACCTGTAACTTCTTCTTTAAGAGGCTCCTCTGTCCTCCACTCGTTACCTGTATTAATGGCACCTGTTTGAACTTGTTATCAGTATTAAAGACACCTGTCCACAACCTCAAACAGTCACACTCCAAACTCCACTATGGCCAAGACCAAAGAGCTGTCAAAGGACACCAGAAACAAAATTGTAGACCTGCACCAGGCTGGGAAGACTGAATCTGCAATAGGTAAGCAGCTTGGTTTGAAGAAATCAACTGTGGGAGCAATTATTAGGAAATGGAAGACATACAAGACCACTGATAATCTCCCTCGATCTGGGGCTCCACGCAAGATCTCACCCCGTGGGGTCAAAATGATCACAAGAATGGTGAGCAAAAATCCCAGAACCACACGGGGGGACCTAGTGAATGACCTGCAGAGAGCTGGGACCAAAGTAACAAAGCCTACCATCAGTAACACACTATGCCGCCAGGGACTCAAATCCTGCAGTGCCAGATGTGTCCCCCTGCTTAAGCCAGTACATGTCCAGGCCCGTCTGAAGTTTGCTAGAGTGCATTTGGATGATCCAGAAGAGGATTGGGAGAATGTCATATGGTCAGATGAAACCAAAATATAACTTTTTGGTAAAAACTCAACTCGTCGTGTTTGGAGGACAAAGAATGCTGAGTTGCATCCAAAGAACACCATACCTACTGTGAAGCATGGGGGTGGAAACATCATGCTTTGGGGCTGTTTTTCTGCAAAGGGACCAGGACGCCTGATCTGTGTAACGGAAAGAATGAATGGGGCCATGTATCGTGAGATTTTGAGTGAAAACCTCCTTCCATCAGCAAGGGCATTGAAGATGAAACGTGGCTGGGTCTTTCAGCATGACAATGATCCCAAACACACCGCCCGGGCAACGAAGGAGTGGCTTCGTAATAAGTATTTCAAGGTCCTGGAGTGGCCTAGCCAGTCTCCAGATCTCAACCCCATAGAAAATCTTTGGAGGGAGTTGAAAGTCCGTGTTGCCCAGCGACAGCCCCAAAACATCACTGCTCTAGAGGAGATCTGCATGGAGGAATGGGCCGAAATACCAGCAACAGTGTGTGAAAACCTTGTGAAGACTTACAGAAAACGTTTGACCTGTGTCATTGCCAACAAAGGGTATATAACAAAGTATTGAGAAACTTTTGTTATTGACCAAATACTTATTTTCCACTATAATTTGCAAATAAATTCATAAAAAATCCTACAATGTGATTTTCTGGAATTTATTTTCTCATTTTGTCTGTCATAGTTGACGTGTACCTATGATAAAAATTACAGGCCTCTCTCATCTTTTTAAGTGGGAGAACATGCACAATTGGTGGCTGACTAAATACATTTTTTCCCCACTGAACCTGTTCATAGACTGTTTCAAGTGGTGAACACTGAACAGCATGTCTCTTTCTTTTTAGATGCGTACACGGATGATGACCTGATGCTCTACTGGAAGAAAGGGAACAATTCCTTGAGCACTGACGAAAGGATCTCCCTCTCCCAGTTCCTCATCCAGGAGTTCCATACCACCAGCAAAAAATCATTCTACAGCAGCACAGGTACAGCACTGAAGACTGACACAACACATGCTGTTCACTGTGATTTATCAAGGTCGTTTTTCTGTAATGCTAATGTAATGCAGGCAATGCAATGCCTTCGGAAAGTATTCAGACCCCTTGACTTTTTCTACATTTTGTTAGCTTACATCCTTATTAAAACATTTATTAAATCGTTTTTTTCCCTCATCAATCTACACACAATACCCCATAATGACAAAGCAAAAATTGGTTTTTAGAAAAGTTTGCTAATTTATTAAAAATAAGTATTCAGACCTTTTACTCAGTACTTTGTTGAAGCACCTTTGGCAGCGATTACAGCCTTGAGTCTTCTTGGGTATAACGCTACAAGCTTGGCACACCTGTATTTGGGGAGTTTCTCCCATTCTTCTCTGCAGATCTTCTCAAGCTCTGTCAGGTTGGATGGGGAGTGTCACTACACAGCTATTTTCAGGTCTCTACAGAGATGTTCAATCGGGTTCAAGTCCGGGCTCTGGCTGGACCACTCAAGGACATTCTGAGACTTTTCCCGAAGCCACTCCTGTGTTGTCTTGGCTGTGTGCTTAGGGTCGTTGTCCTGTTGGAAGGTGAATCTTCACCCCAGTCTGAGGTCCTGAGCGCTCTGGAGAATGTTTTCATCAAGGATCTCTATGTACTTTGCTCCGTTCATCTTTACCTCAATCCTGACTAGTCTCCCACTCCCTGCCGCTGAAAAACATCCCCACAGCATGATGCTTTCACCACCATGCTTCACCGTAGGGATGGTGCAAGGTTTCCTCCAGATATGACGCTTGGCATTCAGGCCATAGAGTTCAATCTTGGTTTCATCAGACCAGAGAATCTTGTTTCTCATGGTCTGACAGGCTTTAGGTGCCTTTTGGCAAACTCCAAGTGAGATTTCATGTGCCTTTTACTGAGGAGTGGCTTCCGTCTGGCCACTCTACCATAAAGGCCTGATTGGTGGAGTGCTGCAGAGATGGTTGTCCTTCTAGAAGGTTCTCCCATCTCCACAGAGTCACTCTGGAGCTCTGTCAGAGTGACCATCGGGTTCTTGGTCACCTCCCTGACCAAGGCCCTTCTCCCCCGATTGCTCAGTTTGGCCGGGCGGCCAGCTCTAGGAAGAGTCTTGGTGGTTCCAAACTTCTTCCATTTAAGAATGATGGAGGCCACTGTGTTCTTGGGGACCTTCAATGCTGCAGAAATGTTTTGGTACCCTTCCCCAGATCTTTGCCTCGACACAATCCTGTCTCGACGCTCCACGGAAAATTCCTTCAACCGCATGGCTTGGTTTTTGCTCTGACATGCATTGTCAACTGTGGGACCTTATAGAGACAGGTGTGTGCCTTTCCAAATCATGTCCAATCAATTGAATTTGCCATAAGTGGACTCCAATCAACAGGATGAATCTGAGCTCAATTTCGAGTCTCATAGCAAAGGGTCTGAATACTTATGTAAATAAGGTATTTCTGTTTTCGTTTTGTCATTATGGGGTATTGTGTGTAGATTTGTTTTATTTCATCCATTTTAGAATAAGGCTGTTACGTAACAAAATGTGGAAAATGTCAAGGGGTCTGAATACTTTCCGAAGGCACTGTATATAACTAAACATATGTAGTAATCTGATCCTCTTCTTTCAAGGCTGGTACAACCGCCTGTACATCAACTTCACCCTGCGACGCCACATCTTCTTCTTCCTGCTCCAGACCTACTTCCCTGCCACTCTGATGGTCATGTTGTCCTGGGTGTCCTTCTGGATCGACCGCCGGGCCGTACCGGCCAGGGTTCCTCTTGGTGAGTTAGCCCCTAGTAGTCCAAGATTTTAGTCAACGCTTGTTTGAAGCTCATGATTCTGTCTTCTACTGTATTCATGTTTCATAATTACAAAGCCTAAACACCTCTATTAATCTGCCTTCAGTAGAATATCCTGCTGCGTCCCTAAGTTTGAACATTTCTGATCAGATGTTGTGTGTTGTACTGTGCTCCAGGTATCACCACGGTGCTCACCATGTCCACCATCATCACTGGAGTCAATGCCTCCATGCCCAGGGTTTCCTACATCAAAGCTGTGGACATTTACCTCTGGGTCAGTTTTGTGTTTGTGTTCTTATCGGTTATAGAGTACGCTGCAGTGAACTACCTGTCTACGGTGCAAGAACGGAAGGAAAGAAAGCTACGAGAAAGGGTAAGTGCCATTATAACATTCCATGGATCCAAAAAGTCAGTTTCTCAGCCTGTAGAAGATGCTCTGGGAAAGAGTTTCCGATTTCAAATTCCTCTGGAAAAAGTGTGCTTGTCTCAGATGGAAAAATGTGGGTACTGTAGCTCGGTATCTAATCCAGTCACTGTGTCTGTCTACAGCTGCCCTGCACCTGTGGCATGACCCACCCAGGCATGATGGGTAGCTACAGCGAGGATGATGTCAACAACACAGGGAATTATGGCGGTGTGCCGATGGAGAACGGCGCTGTGATGCAGCAAAGGATGATGGTCCATCTGGACTTTGAGGAGAATGACCAGATCACAGGACACGTGGGCTCCAGCGCTTACAGCAGTATGTGGATCGACACCCATGCCATAGACAAGTACTCCCGGGTCATCTTCCCTGGGTCCTATATTCTGTTCAACATCATCTACTGGTCCTGCTACCTCTAATGCTGCACAGAATGGGATGGAGGTAGACATACCACAGAACTAGAATGAATTCTATTAATTCTATTATATTTCTACGAAAATACCCAGGGTATGAACCTGGAAAGGAACCACAACTCTGACGATGTGATGATGCAAAATGCTAAACCATGGTACCTGGATTTCTGTACCTGATCTATAGAGGGCATGCCATGCACTAAACACAAAGAGGCCATTGTGGAGAGGTTGGAGTCTGTTTGATTGAGTGTGTGGACAGGTGTCTTTTATACAGGTAACGAGTTCAAACAGGTGCAGTTAATACAGGTAATGAGTGGAGAACAGGAGGGCTTCTTAAAGAAATACTAACAGGTCTGTGAGAGCCAGAATTATTACTGGTTGGTAGGTGATCAAATACTTATGTCATGCAATAAAATGCAAATTAATTACTTAAAAATCATACAATGTGATTTTCTGGATTTTTGTTTTAGATTCTGTCTCTCACAGTTGAAGTGTACCTATGATAAAAAATGACAGACCTCTACATGCTTTGTAAGTAGGAAAACCTACAAAATCGGCAGTGTATCAAATACTTGTTCTCCCCACTGTATATGTTGGTGTTTTATATGTCTGGGAGAAGTAATGAGTTCATGTAATGATTAGTAAGTAATGGGCTGGCTTGTATGCATAGCTGAAAACATAATTGATTTTTTATCCACATTGAGAATTGCAAAACTGTCATTTAGTTTAGTTGTCATTGTCAATATAATATGTTATATTGCATTGTTGGAAGATACATTTTTTCAAAGCCTATGAGAAATAATGCAAAAGTCACACTACAGTAGAATAACACATTCCCTAAAAATCTTAACATTACATTTGATCATCATCATCATACAGTATCATACAGAGCTATCATTTATGTTAGTCATGATCAAATCAAGATTTATTGGTCACGTACACAGATTTGCAGGTGTTATGGCAGGTGCAGCGAAATGCTTATGTTACTAGTGTCACGCCTACTCCCGCTCCCACCTCCAGCGGATGGAATGAGCCGGCGCTCCGCACTCTCTTCCGGAAAGGACTGCGCGAAGAGGTCCAGACAGAGTTGGCATGTCGGGATGACAACCTATCCTTGGATGCACTCATTACGATGGCCATCTGTCTGAATAACCTTCTTTGGTCGCGTCGGTGCCCACCTCGCCACTCGCCTCCTTCCTTTGGCTGTCCTGAGGCAGAGCCTGAACCCATGGAGGTAGGGGCCACACACCTCTCCCAGGCAGAGTGGCGTCGCCGGAGACTGCTGGGGCTCTGTCCCTATTGCGGCCAGGAGGGGCACCAGCTTCCCAACCCGGAGTCCACTAGGGCAGAGGGACGGCCCTGTGATCCCGTCTCCCAGGGTAGGCCTGAATATTCCACCATCATCGTTTTCCGCCAAACCCTTTCTAGTTCCCATTTCATTGGCTGGCTGTCCCTCAGGAGTTGTCTCTACAGCTCTACTGGACTCCTGTGCTGCAGGGAATTTAATCGACCAGGCCCTCGCCTCCTCCCTGAACATAACTTCATACTCGCTCTCCTCTCCTTTTCTGGTCCAAGCCCTGGATAAGCGACCATTGGAATCACGCAGATCACAGCACCCCTCACCCTAAGGAGTCACTGCCAGGACCGACAGGGGGAGTGAGCCCTGTTCCTTCCCTGGGCGGTGTACGCCCAGAACTCACTTCGTCACTCCTCCACCGGGTTGACTCCCTTCCAGTGCGTCCTGGGATATCAGCCAGCCCTGGCTCCGTGGACTCCGAGCCAGACCGAGGCCCCTGCAGTGGACGAGTGGTTCAAGCAGACCGCCACCGCAGTGAAGCTCCCGTGTTCCATCCTGGTGATCGCATCTGGCTCTCCTCCAAGAACCTCCCGCTCCACCTGCCCTGCCGGAAGCTGAGCCCCCGGTTTGTGGGACCCTTCAAGGTCCTCCGGAGGGTCAATGAGGTTACTTACAGTGGCTCGCGAAAGTATTCACCCCCCTTGGCATTTTTCCTATTTTGTTGCCTTACAACCTGGAATTAAAATAGATTTTTGGGGGGTTTGTATCTTTTGATTTACACAACATGCCTACCACTTTGAAGATGCAAAATCTTTTTTATTGTGAAACAAACAAGAAATAAGACAAAAAAACTGAAAACTTGAGCGTGCATAACTATTCACCCCCCCCCCCCCCCCAAAGTCAATACTTTGTAGAGCCACCTTTTGCAGCAATTACAGCTGCAAGTCTCTTGGGGGTATGTCTCTATAAGCTTGGCACATCTAGCCACTGGGATTTTGCCCATTCTTCAAGGCAAAACTGCTCCAGCTCCTTCAAGTTGGATGGGTTCTGTTGGTGAACAGCAATCTTTAAGTCATACCACAGATTCTCAATTGGATTGAGGTCTGGGCTTTGACTAGGCCATTCCAAGACATTTAAACGTTTCCCCTTAAACCACTCAAGGGTTGCTTTAGCAGTATGCTTAGGATCATTGTCCTCATGGAAGGTGAACCTCCGTCCCTGTCTCAAATCTCTGGAAGACTGAAACAGGTTTCCCTCAAGAATTTCCCTGTATTTAGCGCCATCCATCATTCCTTCAATTCTGACCAGTTTCCCAGTCCCTGCCGATGAAAAACATCCCTACAGCATGATGCTGCCACCACCATGCTTCACTGTGGGGATGGTGTTCTCGGGGTGATGAGAGGTGTTGGGTTTGCGCCAGACATAGCGTTTTCCTTGATGGCCAAAAAGCTCAATTTTAGTCTCATCTGACCAGAGTACCTTCTTCCATATGTTTGGGGAGTCTCCCACGTGCCTTTTGGTGAACACCAAACGTGTTTGCTTATTTCTTTCTTTAAGCAATGTTTTTTTTCTGGCCACTCTTCCGTAAAGCCCAGCTCTGTGGAGTGTACAGCTTAAAGTGGTCCTATGGACAGATACTCCAATCTCCGCTGTGGAGCTTTGCAGATCCTTCAGGGTTATCTTTGGTCTCTTTGTTGCCTCTCTGATTAATGCCTTCCTTGCCTGGTCTGTGACTTTTGGTGGGCGGCCCTCTCTTGGCAGGTTTGTTGTGGTGCCATATTATTTCAATTTTTTAATAATGGATTTAATGGTGCTCCGTGGGATGTTCAAAGTTTCTGACATTTTTTTATAACCCAACCCTGATCTGTACTTCTCCACAACTTAGTCCCTGACCTGTTTGCAGAGCTCCTTGGTCTTCATGGTGCCGCTTGCTTAGACACTTAGATTGCACACAGGTGGACTTTATTTAACTAATTATGTGACTTCTAAAAGTAATTGGTTGCACCAGAACTTATTTAGGGACTTCATAGCAAAGGGGGTGAATACATATGCACGCACAACTTTTCCGTTTATTTATTTGTTAGAATTTTTTTAACAAGTTATCTTTTTTATTTCACTTCACCAATTTGGACTATTTTGTGTATGTCCATTACATTAAATCAAAATCAAAATAATTTTAAATTACAGGTTGTAATGCAACAAAATAGGAAAAACGTCAAGGGGGATGAATACTTTTGCAAGGTACTGTACTGTTTAAAACTCCCTACCAACTACTGGATCTCACCCTCTTTTCATGTTTCCCTCCTCGGGCTGGGGGTTTCTGATCCCCTAGCTGATGCCGTCCCACACGACACTCCTCCGCCTCCCCTGGACATCGATAGGACCCCTGCCTATCCCGTCAGGTCCCTACTGGACTCCCGACGTTGTGGGGGTCGGCTTCAGTACATGGTGGACTGGGAGAGGTACGGCCCAGAGGAACGCTGTTGGGTTCCTGGACCCCATCATTGTCAGGGATTTCCATCTCCACCGTCCGGATCGGCCTGCTCCTCGCTCTCGGGGCCATCCTCCTGGCCGGCGTCGTCCTACGGTTGGAGCCGCGTGTCGGGTGTGGGGGGTACTGTCACGCCTACTCCCGCTCCATCTCTCCAGCGCTCGACGTCGCCAGTCTACTAACCACCGGCACTGGCAACCAATATTACGCACACCTGCTCCCCATCATTACGCACACCTGCTCCCCATCATTACGCACACCTACTCCCCATCATTACGCACACCTGCTCCCCATCATTACGCACACCTACTCCCCATCATTACGCACACCTGCTCCCCATCATTACGTACACCTGCTCCCCATCATTACGTACACCTGCTCCCCATCATTACGCACACCTGCTCCCCATCATTATGCCCACCTGCTCCCCATCATTACGTACACCTGCTCCCCATCATTACGCACACCTGGACCCCATCATTACGCACACCTGCTCCCCATCATTACGCCCACCTGCTCCCCATCATTACGCACACCTACTCCCCATCATTACGCACACCTGCTCCCCATCATTACGCCCACCTGCTCCCCATCATTACGCACACCTGCTCCCCATCATTACGCACACCTGGACCCCATTATTACGCACACCTGCTCCCCATTATTACGCACACCTGGACCCCATCATTACGCACACCTGGACCCCATCATTACGCACACCTGGACCCCATCATTACGCACACCTGGACCCCATCATTACGCCCACCTGGACCCCATCATTATGCACACCTGCTCCCCATCATTACGCACACCTGGACCCCATCGTTACGCACACCTGGACCCCATCATTACGCACACCTGGACTTCGTCATTACCTTGATTACCTTCCCTTTATTTAGCCCTCAGTAGTCTCAGTTATCAGGCAGTATTGGTTTGTTTACATGTTCAGTACGAATCCCCTGTTTTGTTCAGTTGCCTTGCATAATTGTTATTAAACTCTCCTACTGCACCTGCTTCCTGGCTCCTTCATATACGTGACAACTAGCTCCAACAGTGCAGTAGCATGTCTCACAGATACAATAAAAATACACAACTAATCAAAACAAGAATTCAAGAAATAACAATCCAAGTAGATACAGTATATTATAGCATGTGTGAGCATTATGTTAAAGATACAAAGTAAAGGTCACTCGAAAGCACCAATAATTGTACTTTTGTGAGCCAGTATAGATCCTTGAGGTTGGTTAAGTTAGGGAACAAAGCTATACCAAATACCTTCTGTACCAATAAGTACATTATTGTGCAGTTATTATGAGATCAGATATATAGTAGCATCCAGAATTGCATGTCTTGGCAACTGAAATGTAATGTATATCAAAACAAATGTTCCAAATGGTTATTTCAAACTGTGCTATACAATGTCGGGATAATGTTGTGTATTGTGGTTTCAAATGGACCATTTCACCTATATTTATTGAATAACTACTGAATAACAGTACTGAATAACAGCACTTGTACAGTATTTTAGAATGAATCTGTCAACTGATAAAAAATATTTGTTCTTACATTATTTCCTGGACTTCTTTACGTTTCTGACCACCCTTCCCATCTATTTTAGTTTGATTCAACATGTGTGACAGGTAAATGGGCTATTGACATGATGATTTTGTAACTCAGTTTCTGAAACAATAAGTAATTGATTAAAATGTTTTCATCTATTTGCTGTTCACAAATTCAGCACATTGTTCTTACATTTAATTAACAGGCTTCTGCCCAGATAAGATAATGACTGCTTCATTCACATGCAATGAAATCCAAGAAAAACAAACAAATTATGGGCATCAGTAGACTTTTGTCAGATTTATTATTCAATTCCCTGAATGGAGATATAAAAACCTTCCTTTCCAATGCATTTAGGCTTATCTAATGCAACATTGATATGACATCTGTTTGGAATTAAGTCTAATTTCAACCAAAGCCTGGATAGGTATATCCTACAAAAAAATATAATGTGAATAACAATTTAAGTGCTCACACATAACAGGTACAGCGAACACATCTTTGGTTGAAGTGCCAATAAGTGCTTTTAAGGTTCTATGAAAGGCTGAAAATCAAGTTTATTAAGGCTTTATTTCCTCCTATTGATAGCCAATCATCAGCTGTCAGAATATCAAAACTGACCAGATAGATCAGTGAACACAAACGCTGGTCAATAGAGTGCTACAGATTGCAGAGTTTTGTTCTAGCCCCGCACTTACACATTAATCTCAATGAGGTCTTCAAGGTTGATTGGTTGAATCAGGTGTGCAGGAGGTGACATGGTATGGAGTGGGTCTCTGCTCCCCTATCTGCCAGAGCCTACTGTGAGTATACAGTAGGATCTTAATTTGAGCCAGTTTGCTACAGCAGGAAAATAATCCTGCAGCAACAGGAAATGTGAATTATTATGTGGATTATAATTAATTGACATTTTTATAGGGGTTGATACATTTTCCGTAAGGTAAAAAAATGTCTGAAATGTCAAAGTAGAAATTAAAAAACATCAGAAGCCTTTTTAAACCTCAAATACACTACAAGTTTGAAATGTCCTTTACTGCAGGAAAGTTCCCATGCAACAAGGTGATCAAATTAAGATCCCACATCAGTATGTGGTTCAGTGCTGGGCCACCCCTCCACAATGTTTGGCCTCTGAGGCCCCTTTCAGGGCACGCTCCTCCTTCAGATTAGCCTCCTTTAACTCCTCCCTGGCCCTCTGCAGCAGCTCTGGACACAGCAGCACATCCAGGGTTGTCATGGCCAGGGCCTTCGCCGCCCGCAGGGTGTAGAACTGAGCTTTATCATCACCTAGACGACAGATTCAGAGACACGCACAATAGGCCTTTGTGAAAAATGATTGAATCCACCGTTATTATGGTTTTATGTTGCACTCAAACTTCTCATTAAAGATTTACTGAACTGAACTGGAGGGGAAAAACATATGTAGTCTACTCCATGACACCATACTTGCATGTCATGGAGTAGACTACATGTTTCCTTTAACAACAACAACATATATTTGTCATTTGTTTCAGGTGTATGATAAAGACGTACCAGCAGCCACAGTGTATTCCTCTGTGTGGTTTAGAGCATCTGAGCCAATGTAAAAGTATGGGTGGATTCCAGGTACAATAAAAGACACATTGCCAAAGTCTGTGGAACCTGTGGAGATAACAAACTATCAAAGGTATTTTGTTCTACGTTACAGCATTACAGGTTCATTGCATAACAAGAATGTTGCTTCCTACATCTTCTGATGACCACAAGAGGGCCTGTGGAAAGCACAGGGAGGGATGCATGATTGAGTTGGGCTGTCTTACCAGAGGAGATTTTGAGAACATCTTCATTTTTAACAAATTCGATCCCCAAAGCCTTGCCGTTTAACTCATACAACCCCTGCAGGGTGAGATTCTGCAGAACGTTGTAAAATGCATTCCTTGCAAACTCCAGTTTAACCTTTAAAAAAAAAAAAAAACATTTTATTTGGTAAATTGCTCTGGATATGTATTTTAATTGGATAATGTATATGTTGAGTCAATGTTTTGTTAAATATAACAATAATTGGTGTGACACGCAACAAGATGACTTCTTCACATGTAAAGAATAAATAAAAATAAAAAGTAAACGTAGATATATTTTTCTTTGTGGTAACTTTGTCATCGCGCTTACTTCACAACCAGTTGCCATGGCAGCTGATCTAAAACACATCTCAGCCTTGGCCTTAATAATGGGCAGGTCTTTGCGTGTGGGAGTTCGGAGATAGTACTCCAGCTCTGTGTACGCAGGGATGATGTTGGGTTTCACCCCTCCATGCTTGATGATACCTGCACAGGATCACAAAGTAACACTGTTTGGGGTTGTAGCTGGTGAGCAAGTGGAGAAAGTGTAAAACATAGACATTGCAAAATAGGTAACTATCTTAGTTAATGTTTGCTGCATAGAGTTTGCATGCCTCTCATTCTGAGGTTAAAATGCTTCTGAACTTATTGTGAAAAGAATGTATAAGACCAGGACTAACATATGTGTTAATGTTAACTGGGCTCAGTGGGCTGTCCCTCACCGTGGATTCTCCAGTCTGGCTTGAGTTGCTGTCTGAGCACAGAGAGGTTATTGTAGGCGAGCACAGCAGCGTCCAGTGCGTTGACTCCTTCCCAGGGGTAGGCTGCAGCATGAGAGGCCTTGCCATGGTACCTCACTATGACACTGGAAATTGAAAAAAATAAGTGCCAAAACGTTGTTGTTTACCCATAAATTATATTGAGTATATTTAGAGTGTGCGACTATCTTTATTTATTTATACACAAGTTTACTATACTGTTAGTCAGCACAACTCATGCTTTTCACTGGAAATTAAACCAGAAACCAGACTTTGGCCTTTAGAGTTATGCTGTTGGCCTGGTGGTTTATTCTGAGAGTAGGCCAAGGGAACATCAGCTGTATCTTAAATGTTGTAACTGGCCTGACTGCCTGGCAGTGACTGCAGCCTGAAATAGCACTCTGCAATGCAGCTAGGGCCCCCAGTACAGAGTTCATGGATATCTCAGTCTACAAGGGGATATTATCTGATAACAATGGATTGAACTCTACTAAATGGATCTCTTTCTAATATGTTTTCGTTCTAGCAGCCATTAACTATGAGAAATGGGATCCATATGTTTGTATTGCTTAATACATTATGAAAGATATTGTGTGCGTCCCAAATGTACCCTTTTAGGAATGCATTATTTGGGATTCAGACATTGTAATTGACTGTTTTGATTGTGTGTGAGCCCTTGAAATAACCTTACTCATGTTCAGCCACGTCTGGCAGCCAGGAGGCATCTTCCTGTGAGGGATGAGCCATGAATACCACGTCCAGGCCATCGAACGCCCCTTCCCTTATCAGGTCGATTTTACCCCCTCCATCCTCCTCTGCTGGGGTTCCCAACACTGTCACCTGTGGAAGAAGAGTTGGCTGGTCAATATTGCACGGAAAAACTCCTGAGTCCCGGCCCATGTCAGAGCTATTAAAAGCCAATAAATGTGGAGAGGGCTGATAATAAAATAAATGGGAGTTAGGTTAATGCACATCCTCTTTTACAATGCACTCAAAAATGATGCTTTATGTTATTGAACGGTTATTGGCATATTTTGACTCCTAACACACTCATCCTATGACACCATTCAGTTTCTTTACAATAAATGTGTTAAATGAGTAACTGCTATTCTTGGTTAACCCAGAAGTAAAAGTCAGCTACACATTTGGGATTTCGGCAACCAAGCCCTTTATCTACTTCCCCAGTCAGATGAACTTGTGGATACCATTTTTATGTATCTGCGTTGTTATCTAGCGTTTGCGCAGTTGCTAACTAGCATTAGTGCAATGACTGGAAGTCGGATTGTAGACGTTCAGTCATTGCGCTAATGCTAGTTAGCATTGGCTCACGAAACTACTTCTAACTTCATTCACACTGGATGCAGAGACATATAAAATGGAATCCACGAGTTAATCTGACTGGAGAAATCGATAAGGGCTGCATTGCAAAAAATCCCATACTATCCCTTTAACTAACAGCAGATTCCTAGATGGAGAACACGCACCCTAAGGCTATTGAGAAATGTATTAGTAGGATAAGACAATTTTCCCAGTGTTGGCAACTATTTTTCAGTGAGAATGTCTATTGGCTCCTCGATTTATCGCAAGAAGTCGCTATGTAGCGTTTTCACCCCTCCCCTTGTGCTTCGCTGGCAGGGTGTGCACAGTTTCTGCAACAAAACCTCTCAGTGGCAAAACTCCCCAAAAAGGCAAGCCTGAAAAGTAGCTGAATTTGTCGCTAGGCTCGTTTACCATTAAAAGTCGCTGGAGTGGTCAGAAAACACGCTAAATATCCTATAGCTACATATTTTCCAGTGTGAGTGTTTTTCGTGCTCTCGTGTGGGGGGTGCGTGAGCAAGCGCCTAAAATATATCTTCAGACATCTTACCTGGACTGGGACAGGAAAATCGGGTGTGCATTCTACCAATGCTTTTAATCCGATCGCTGCGGCAGCTCCTACTTCAGCTATGAGGTTATGGCCACATGCATGTCCAATGCCCGGCAGTGCGTCGTATTCACACAAGAAACCAACATTTATGACATGTTTGTTCCCCTTGGCCTTGCCACCGACGGGTCCCCATATGGCACGGAATGCTGTCTCGAGTTTAAAGTGACTGTCCACAGTCCATCCCTTCTGCTCTGAGAAAAAGGCAACTAACCTGTCGTGTGACTTTCTTTCTTCATATGCGAGTTCTGGGCAACTCCATATGTCTTTGCTAAGACGATGAAGCCCGTCTTTGGCTTCGTCGATACAACTGCCAACTTTTTGTTTTAGCTCCAGGAGCCTATCTGTTGCGTGCTGAGCCATTTATAAAGAGTAAACGGAGTCAGCACTAAACACTGCACTGCAGACAGTGACAACTCTCACTTGCTCACAGATTGTCGGGAGTGTTGTAATTCTTGGTCAAATGACCCGTTTATGTTTTTATATACTACTGTAAAGTTGAACAATTTCTACATGGAGAATAGCTCTACCTCACGTGCCAGATCAATTTTCTTCAGACTGAGTAAACATGTTGCAGAAGGGGGCACTCATCCTCGTATTTCAGTCTACAAAAGTAATTCAGACAGGACAGTTGGCTCTCCTTCCATGGTAGGCTGATATGCAGCCTGGCTGAATAAAAAACGACATTAGTTGCACAGTATGAAGAAGATACACGTCATTACGTATAATACACTGAACAAAAACCATAAAAGCATCTTGAAAAGGTGGTCTTCTGTAGCTCAATTGGTAGAGCATGGCGCTTGTAACGCCAGGGTAGTGGGTTCGATCCCGGGACCACCCATACGTAAATATATATGCACACATGATTGTAAGTCGCTTTGGATAAAAGCGTCTGCTAAATGGCACATTATTATAAAGTCTTGGTCCGATGTTCTATAAGCAAAAAAAAATCTCTAATTTTGTGCACAAATGTGTTACATCCCTGTTAGTGAGCATTTCTCCTTTTAGAAATAGCGTAATTCAAATCTGGTATTGGAATAAGAGAAAACATAATCAAGAGATATTCAATCCAAGCTAAATTTATTATATGCAAAATGTATGTATGATAAGTATGATGGTTCGTATACGGGCTCACTAAAATACCACGCAGGGCAGACAGAGAACTAAGCCATTGTTATGAGTTCTTCTTAAAATACTCTGACAGTGATAGTTCCCGCTCCCTGCTGGCCAATCAGAGTAGAGACTGAGCGTGGTTTAGACTTACTCAGCCTATCCGTTGGCACAGGCTGGTCCCAGCCCCTTGGCGCTTCACTGTTGCCAGGTATACATTGTTATCATCACAACCTGTAGAGTCAGCACCTATTTGCAGTACACGTCCTTGAGCGGTTCACAGATCACAAAGAGGCAGTGTTCGTGTCTGTGAGAAATGCAAGTCTTATCTCATCCTACCCCCTAACGTTCCTCACATGAATCACAGCTTGTTATGTGAAACAATTTATATCAGTACAGTACAAACCTTTTATGTTTAATCATTAATGCATTCTTTCTAAGCTAGTCATCACATCTAGATCCCCACACTCCTTTGCCAAGATAATCCATCCACCTGACAGGTGTGGCATTTCAAGAAGCTGATTAAACAGCATGATCATTACACAGGTACACCTTGTGCTGGGGACAATAAACGGCCACTCTAAATTGTGCAGTTTTGTCACACAACACAATGCCACGGATGTCTCAAGTTTGTAGGGAGCATGCAATTGGCATGCGGACTGCAGGAATGTCCAACAGAGCTGTTCCCAGAGAATGGAATGTTAATTTCTCCACCATAAACCGCCTCCAACATTGTTTTAGAGAATTTGGCAGTACATCCAACCGGCCTCATAACCGCAGACCACGTGTAACCACGCCAGCCCTGGACCTCCACATCCACCTTCTTCACTTGCGGGATAGTCTGGGGAGTTTTTCTGTCTGTAATAAAGCCCTTTTGTGGGGAAAAACTCATTTTGATTGGCTGGGCCTGGCTGCCAAGTGGGTGGGCCTATGCCCTCCGTGGCCGAACCTTTTTTTTTGTTCTTAAAACCTCTTAAGGATCGGATCCTTTTTTTCAATTTTCGCCTAAAATGACATACCCAAATCTAACTGCCTATAGCTCAGAACCTGAAGCAAGGATATGCATATTCTTGATATCATTTGGAAAGAAACACTTTGAAGTTTGTGGAAATGTGAAATTAATGTAAGAGAATGTAACACATTAGATCTGGTAAAAGATAGTACAAACAAAAAAATCATTAGCTTCCCTACAGAAAAGACACTAACCTTCACACCTCTAGATGGCTGGGCGGGGGTGGGGGTGGAGCCAGAGACAGCAGTGGGGTCAAACTGTAGAACCCAGTTCCTACATTTGAATATAAAATGGATTTATCAAACAAAACTACACTACATTTTATCTCTGGGACCCTCAGGATGACAAATCAGAGCAAGATTACTGAATGTAAGTACATTATTTACCTTCAGAGGTGAATGTATCAAACCAGTTGCAGTGATAAAAGTGTTTTGTTGTTGTGCACTATCCTCAAACAATAGCATGGTATTTTTTGCTGTAATAGCTACTGTAAATTGGACACCGCAGGTAGATTAACAAGACTTTAAGCTTTCTGCCCATATAAGACATGTCTATGTCCCGGAAAGTTGGCTGTTGTTTACAAGGCCATTCTTGTCACACATGGCATACTGAGCTGCAACTGTCTGGTCTAGGGACACCGATCCCATAGAGGCTTAAACAAGATTAGCTTTAAAACCTGATTTCTGTTTATTTTCTCTTTCATGAGATACAAAACAAGAAATAATGTAAACAACTGATTGTAACGTTTTTTTTGCTTGAAAAAATATTTACAATTATTTTTAAACTGGATTAATATCATACATTGTAAATTATATTTACATTATATATTTTGTTTAAAGGAAAATCAATGACTTCCCATTGTTCACCCCCTCCTTGTTTCATTGGTTCTTAAATTGGTCAACGTCTATTAGCTCTTTCAAACGAAATCCTTGTGCAAAAATATAAGCCTTTGTGTTTCACCCCCCCCCCATCTCAATCTTCTCCTTCCTATTTCTACTTGACTGAATGTTACGTAAATATACATCAATATGTTATTTAGATGTGGCAGTTAAGGGCTGTTTTTGTTCCTTTTGGTGTATTTTTTGTAATATTTTCTTCCTGAGGGGAAGATATAGGACGTTTCGTACCACATTTTGACAGGCAGGTTCCTTCCATAGAGCGGGAGTTGTCTGGGGGGCAAAGGAGGGTAGCCATCAGGTTGTTGGGAAGCGACCGGAGTACTGGCAAGTTTTAGTGGGTCGAATTCATTAACTTTCTTTCGAGCGGACCGTTTTGCTGCTGGACCCATTGCTGCACCCCTGCCCAGTCATGTGAAATCCATTGATTTGGCCATTGTGAATTTTTTATTTGACTGATTTCCTTATATGAACTGTAACTTAGTCAAATCTTTGAAATTGTTGCGTTTATATTTTAGTTTGCTGCTGGTTAATTTCTTTGTTGTGTAAGTTATTTATCCGCAACCACTACAATCAATGCTGAAACTAGAGTACTAGTTCTCTGATGTATTATATATTACTAGAGTAATAAACCAATGAACTTGTGGGGAGACTGACAGGCATTGTGAAGTCTGACATCTTAGCATTTTCAACTTGTAAAGGCGAATGGTAACAGACAGACAACATATAGGGGGTAGCCAATATTTTAATGTGAATTTAGATATGAAATGCATCATAAAATTAAAAAAACAGTTATAATTGCAATGTGAGTGTATTGCTTTAAGATGTATACAAATTTAGTCACTGGACTAAAATAACTTTTTGAACATTTGCAAAAAAAATGTGTAAGTCTTTGGTACAGTAATACAATTTCATCATTTGTGTGTGACACTGAGTGAAGGTACAAGAATTAGCAGCTGCCTAGCTCCAGAGGGAAGGGGTCAAAGGTGTGTTACATAATAATAAAGATAATGTCACTCTAAATGATCATACATCTTACTTCCGGTAAACATTCTCAGTGCTTTAGATGGAACACAACACTGGTGATCAGGGGGCAAATGAAAGGCATATGAAAGACAAAACCAAAACTCTAAGAAAACATAACAGAAACGTGTCAGTGCTAGAGATTCAAAACAAAGGGCACTCAGTCAGTGCTGAATGTCTGTTGCCTGCAGCGGCAGTTGTCCTCCTCGTCGGAGGGGGAATTCTTGATTTTGAGACTCACATTTGTCACTCCATCTTCTTAATCTCGTCCACCCAGGTGGCTCCCTCTGTCGTTGAGCCTAGGGCCGAGGTTACCGTGTTCTAGACCATCCTTCCAGAGAGTTCCCTGAAGATTGTGGGTCCTCCCTGCAGTGCATTCAGGGCAATAGCAGTCACAACTGGTGGGCCGAGGTTCACAGAACCCCAAACATTCACACAACTCTATGCTTGCCACTATGGGGACCCGTGTTGGTTCAGTCAGTCTTGTGCAAATTTGTAAGAAAATCTCTTACGTTTAATGCGGCCTATTATTGGAACAGTAAAATAGTGCACCAGCTCAAGGTGAACATCTTTTTTTAGGCTTCAGTAACAAAACTATACTTTCTGTTAAAATAACATGAAAAATATACACTTATATTACATGTTTACAGTATATACATTTACACAAGTTCATAAAAAATCCCCACAAAAACAAGGCCGCTTGCTCAAAACAACATGTGAAATTGTATTACAGATCAAAAACTCATTACATTCTGTTGCTGTTAAGTTATAGTTCCAGTTCTTTCAGAGTCCAAATTCTTCAGTGCCAAATTTCTTGTCATTGATCAGGTAAAGAAGGATCCTTTTGACAAGATTTTCCATCCATTGAGATCATGGTTTATCTTGAACCTTCAGCAGAGACTTCAAATGAAAAGTAATTTGCTCTCGGCTGTGGTCGGAATGTTGGGGGGCAGTCTCGCCGACCCAATGACTGGGTGGTTTGGGCAGGACACTTGGAGATGGGGGCTCGCTGAATTTAGCTCCAGCATAGATCTTCTCTCCGTCTTTGAGCTCATCCTCAGGTACAAGCTCAGCTGGGGATACATTCACGATCTTGACATTGTCAACTGAGTTGAAGGGATTCTTCTCCTCTCTACGGAGGAGCTGGAAGGGAGCAGAATTGGGCTTCGGGTGGCAGCTGTTGTCATTTTTCTGTACTGAGGGAGCATTGCAAGGTGCATTAACGTGCCTGCTCCTTCGGGTGTTGAGATTTTGGGCAGCTTGATCGAGTCTATGGAGGTTGTGGACAGACTGGTCACCTGGTGTTGTGGCCCTCTCCACTCTCCCACTTTTTGACTTCAGCAGCTGGGAGGAAAGAGAAACAAACGTTACAATCTCACACTGTCAGAACCATTCTAACTGTTACGCAAATAGTTTCTACTTTGACTGCTCTGAAGAACACTTGAGGAAACATTTCCAGTTCCACCTCATCTGTTGTTGGTGTCAATGCAATATGTAAACATCTCAGGAACTGGCACATCGCCAGCATCGTTGAAATCCTTCATAACAAGTAACCTAAATACCTGTAGCACATCTCCTCAGGTCAACCTTTAATAAACATTGATTGTACATAGTGTATCAAATTCCTATGTCAACAGGGCTGCTTTCAGTACGGAAAAATGGTGCGCAACATTCAATTAAACCCAAACAGTTCTGAATGACAACTTGAAAAACATGGAGGAGTTTTGAACAGTCAACCTGGCCACTGCCCTTTAAAATATGTCAGTCATTGCTTGAAGCCACACCCACCAAAGGTACCATAGTCTGTTCAAGAACGCAGGGGAGAGTTCAGTTCGATTAAACATTTGCTACGTTGCGTAACGGATTGTACTGACCAACAAGTTTCCCCAAAACGTTCAACATTCTTTGAGGTATGTTTGATCCGTTTGGTGGGTGTGGCTCGAAGCAATGAGTGACGTATATATGCTGACAGCGTTCCCCAACCCAACCTGTTTTTTAAAAAAACCGGTCATTTCTTTTTATTAGGATCTCTTTTAGTCCTCATTTGGACTAATCTTCCAAGAGTAATTAAACATTAAAATACAATTTATAATACAATCACATTTTCACATATAACACACTGTTACAAACAGACATAACACTGACATATTGACCAGATAATACTCAGTCTGAAAATATAGATTGATTCCTTCATCTACCATAGTCCTGTACAACCTTCCAACTTATTATATTTAAAATGGTTGTAAAGTATTACTAGAATTTATATATTGAAATGTTTCTGGTCTGCTCAGATAAATTATTCAATTTCTTTATTGCTCTAAATCGAAATGTTATTTTGCCTATTTCTCTTTTCTGTCTGGATAACACAGATGGTGGACAATCTATTCCTAGTATTTACTGAATGTTTGTCTCTTACCAACTGAATAAAATGGCGCCGGAGAAGATGGCTGCCGTTTTACAGCCCTCTAACCAATTGTACTATTATGTGTGTTTTTCCACGTTATTTGTAATTTATTTTGTCCATAATGTTTCTGCCATCGTCTCTTATAACCAAAAAAAGCTTCTGGATATCAGGACAGCGATTACTCACCTCGTATTGGACAAATAATTTTTCTTCAACGAGGCGGCCGCGAAGGATATCCTACAGACACCCGACAAGGCCCAAATCCCCGTCATTCGCATGAGGAAGAGACGGAGATATCGTGGACGTAGGTCGGGGTGCCTTGTAAGGATCAGATGGCGAGCGAGTAAACTGCCGCTCCCATCAATCCTATTAGCCAATCTTCAATCATTGGAAAATAAATTGGATGACCTAAGATTACGGTTATCCTACCAATGGGACATTAAAAACTGTAATATCTTATGTTTCACCGAGTCCTGGCTGAACGACGACATGGATAACATACAGCTAGCGGGCTATACGCTACATCAGCAGGATAGAACGGCTGACTCCGGTAAGACAAGGGGTGGCGGTCTGTGTATATTTGTAAACAACAGCTGGTGCACAAAATCAAATACTAAGGAAGTCTCGAGGGTTTGCTCGCCTGAGGTAGAGTATCTTATGATAAGCTGTAGACCACACTATTTACCAAGAGAGTTTTCATCTATATTTTTCATAGCTGTCTATTTACCACCACAAACCAATGCTGGCATTAAGACTGCACTGAATGAGCTGTATAAGGCCATAAGTCAACAGGAAAACACTCATCCAGAGGCAGCGCTCCTAGTGGCCGGGGACTTTAATGCAGGGAAACTTAAATCCGTTCTACCTCATTTCTACCAGCATGTTAAATGTGCAACCAGAGGGGGAAAAAAAAAACTCTAGACCACCTTTACTCCACACACAGAGACTCATACAAAGCTCTCCCTCGCCCTCCATTTGGCAAATCTGACCATAACTCTATCCTCCTGATTCCTGCTTATAAGCAAAAACTAAAGCAGGAAGCACCAGTGACTCGGTTAATAAAAAAGTGGTCAGATGTCGCAGATGCTAAGCTACAGGACTGTTTTGCTAGCACAGACTGGAACATGTTCCGGGATTCTTCAGATAGCATTGAGGAGTACACCACATCAGTCACTGGCTTCATCAATAAGTGCATCGATGATGTCGTCCCCACAGTGACCGTACGTACATACCCCAACCAGAAGCCATGGATTACAGGAAACATCCGCACTGAGCTAAAGGGTAGAGCTGCCGCTTTCAAGGAGCGGGACTCTAACCCGGACGCTTATAAGAAATCCCGCTATGCCCTCCGACGAACCATCAAACAGGCAAAGAGTCAATACAGGACTAAGATTGAATCGTACTACACCGGCTCTGACGCTCGTCTGATGTGGCAGGGCTTGAAAACTATTACATACTACAAAGGGAAGCACAGCCGCGAGCTTCCCAGTGACACAAGCCTACCAGACGAGCTAAACCACTTCTATGCTCGCTTCGAGGCAAGCAACACTGAAGCATGCATGAGAGCACCAGCTGTTCCGGATGACTATGTGATCACGCTCTCCGTAGCCGATGTGAGTAAGACTTAAGCAGGTCAACATTCACAAGGCCGCAGGGCCAGACGGATTACCAGGACGTGTACTCCGAGCATGTGCTGACCAACTGGCAAGTGTCTTCACTGACATTTTCAACATGTCCCTGACTGAGTCTGTAATACCAACATGTTTCAAGCAGACCACCATAGTCCCCGTGCCCAAGGACACTAAGATAACCTGCCTAAATGACTACCGACCCGTAGCACTGACGTCTGTAGCCATGAAGTGCTTTGAAAGGCTGGTCATGGCTCACATCAACACCATTATCCCAGAAACCCTAGACCCACTCCAATTTGCATACCGTCCCCAACAGATCCACAGATGATGCAATCTCTATTGCACTCCACACTGCCCTTTCCCACCTGGACAAGAGGAACACCTACGTGAGAATGCTATTCATTGACTACAGCTCAGCATTCAACACCATAGTGCCCTCAAAGCTCATCACTAAGCTAAGGATCCTGGGACTAAACACCTCCCTCTGCAACTGGATCCTGGACTTCCTGACGGGCCGCCCCCAGGTGGTAAGGGTAGGTAACAACACACCAAGACAGTCGTGAAGAGGGCACGACAAAGCCTATTCCCCCTCAGGAGACTGAAAAGATTTGGCATGGGTCCTTAGATCCTCAAAAATTCTACATCTGCACCATCGAGAGCATCCTGACTGGTTGCATCACCGCCTGGTATGGCAACTGCTTGGCCTCCGACCGCAAGGCACTACAGAGGTTAGTGCGTACGGCCCAGTACATCACTGGGGCCAAGCTTCCTGCCATCCAGGACCTCTATACCAGGCGGTGTCAGAGGAAGGCCCTCAAAATTGTCAAAGACTCCAGCCACCCTAATCATAGACTGTTCTCTCTGCTACCGCACGGCAAGCAGTACCGGAGTGCCATGTCTAGGTCCAAAAGACTTCTCAACAGCTTCTACCCCCAAGCCATAAGAATCCTGAACAGCTAATCATGGCTACCCAGACTATTTGCACTGCCCCCCCACCCCATGTTTTTACACTGCTGCTACTCTGTTAATTATTTATGCATAGTCACTTTAACTCTACCCACGTGTACATATTACTTCAACTAGCTGGTGCCCCCGCACATTGACTCTGCACCGGTACCCCCCTGTATATATAGCCTCCATACTGTCATTTTATTTTACTTTTGCTCTTTTTCTCAACACTTTTTTGTTGTTGTTTTATTTTACTTTTTTATTTAAAATAAATGCACTGTTGGTTAAGGGCTGTAAGTAAGCCTTTCACTGTAATGTCTGCGGCGCATTTGGCCAATAAAATTTGATTTGGAATACTGTTGTGAATGGAGTTGTCATTCACCTAGTGCAGGGTTTCCCAAACTCGGTCCAGGGGCCCCCTCACTGCACGTTTTGGTTTGTGCCTAGAGTTACACAGCTGATTCAAATAACCAACTCATCATCAAGCTTTGATTACTTAAATCAGCTTTGTAGTACTGGGGGGGAAAACCAAAACACGTGCACCCGGGGGGGAGGGGGGGGACCCTGACCTAGCGAGTACACTATTTTACAATTGGGTCGTGGGCTGAAGATCAATGTGCAAATTCAGAATAAAGTAAAGGGGGAAAAGACTCCATCCATCACACTGCTTCAAGCGAATTGGTGTCAAGTTGCATAATGCGTGTGTTGTTTATAAGGATAAAAACAGCATAATGTTTATAAGGATAAAAACAGCATAATGTTTTACTAACAATGGACAAAGAAATAACCACATGTACAAGCATAGAATACGAACGAAAACCATCTACTTCACTAAATTAACTGAATATATACCTCTTTCTTTGTCCCCTGCTTAATATGGTGACGGGTCAGCACAGTCGCCTGGGTCCGGTTGGTCGCGAGCTCGGCACTTGGGGCTTTCGGAGCTGCGACGTTGTTGTTGATGTCTGCAAGACGCGTGGGGTTGTTTCTCAGCGTTTTTTGGTGCGGTTGCTGGTGTGTCCGCTGCAACCCTGACGTTGTTGAACGCAATTTTCTGCCACCTTTCTTCAACAGTGCTTGCCTTGTTTTGCCTAGGCTTGCCCCGACGTGGTGGGAAGTCAAAATTGATGGCTTATTGTTTTCAACGTTGTCCAGATTTGGTTCAATATGACTTAGTGATTCGCCCAACATGACTTCAAAGTGGAGAGGGAGGACACATCAACGATACTAGCAAATCGTTCTAAAATATAAACTAGGCTAACTTTAACCTGCTAGCCAACGACGTTAGTTCACCTCACTACTACTACTACTACAACAATCGACAACAGCTAACACGACGACGTTATCTAGTACATAGTAGATGGTGGAACTAAAGTATGTCCGAAAACCTCGATGCAGATAGATTGCAGTGGGTTTTTGATCAATTGAAGAAGAGTCCAACGATGTTGATGGCGTAATCTTATTGTAACTAGAAGCACGGTCTTCGAGATGGCGTAGAAGCGATGGAAATGGCGCAGGACAACTTCCTGATTGTATTTCAGGGGAAGCTGAAACACACGCCCACTTATTTCCAAACAAAGGAGATGAGAGCAACACGATTTTAACGCCGTAAATCACGTTAATTGCTAATAGAATAACAAAATGCCATTAAAGTTTATTTATAAGTCAACGCGAATGCGTGCTCCGTGAAAAGGTAGAAGCAGTGTATAAATAAATCATTGGTTTCGAAAGCCGGAAATTGCAGATCTCCCATGTTCGAAATGACGTCATGTATGTTGTCATTCTCATGATCGGTACTTTCCAACATGGAGAGGCAATTGCCGCATTCAACAACTGGGAACTCGGAAAATACGAGGTCAAATCAGTGGACGTCAGTGATATTCAGGTCGGAAAGACGGAGCTCTAGAAAGAGGCCCGAGTTCCCGAGTTGGAAATCCAAGTTGGATGACCATTCAAATCGATTTTTCCAGTCGGACCTCGTTTTTTTTCCGAGTTGCCAGTCGTTTTGAAGGCACTGAAGTCGGAAGTCGGAGATTTCCGAGTTCCCCATGCCGCGTTCAAAACAACTGGGAAGTTGGAAATCTCCGACTTCAGTGGCTATTCGACACCATCAGCTACTATCAAATCAACAAAACATTGACAGTATCCCACAACTGGTTAGCCACTATTGGCTTAAAAAGCCCCCAAAACCTAACACAAAATCTGCCAATTAATTTCCAGCGATATTGCCCATGTCTGTCTTTGTGGTGCGTGCATTTGTATATCACTCTGTGTCTAGCCAGCCAGTTGTTGTGATAACCATCTTGTGGGTTTCCCCAAAACCTTCTTAATTAAATGTTGACTGCAAAGTAGGTTTACCTGGCAGAAGTATATCATGAGGAAATATATAATTTGTATCTATTTGCCATGAAATGAGCAGCAGCAGTACAGAACCATTGCTAGACCTGCACGTTGGACAGCACATTCCTCATTAAAGGGGAATTACACAAAAACAATTATAATTTGTTAGCTTTCTTCCAGACCAAAACAAAAACGTATTCTGATGTGATTTAAGCATTGACATGGACTCAGAACATCCAATTTCGGAAAAAGTAAAAGTCTGACGCCTCAATTTTGGAAAATATAAAACAGAATTTGGGGGAAAATCCCAGATTTCATAGGCTCCCCTTAGAGTTGTTTCTTAACCATTATTTTACCAGGTATATTGACAGAAAACATTGTGAACTATTTTCTCTTGTACAATAAGGACCAGGGGAAGAGTTGCAGGGGAGAGGAGAAGAGAAGAATGTGCCTATTTGAAGGCTAGAAAAAAGTGAGTAGCTCGCGAACTGTTTCATTTTTTAGAAACAAGCTCTCATGCTAGAAAAGGTTGGACCCCTGGGCTACACTATCTAGCTACTTCCATCTCCTTACTGCTCCAAACGGGAGTGAAGGACGCTAGTGCGCTCAGTGTTGTTGTGTTGCCGGCTTGCAGCGCAAACTCTCCCCATTGAGCAGTGTAGACTGCAGGCCTATCACGGTGACTACAAGTTATTTTATCTGTATTCTATATAGGCTGCTATCCTACTCGAAATAAAATCAAGTGGGATGGAACAAATTGGAGATGGTGTCCAAATACAGTTTGTGACATATACTACAAGTTATTTCTCCTTCGCCCATAGAAATAAATCTCACTTTCATTTACAAGTTTTAACCAGAGCCATTTCTTGCCAGCAGGACGACTGACTGAACCGAATAAATTCGTTTCCACACTCGATTCTCAGCTGCATAACATACATAATCGATTTGAGCACCAGGCGTATCGGTATAGCCCAGGGATCATCAACTAGATTCAGCCGCAGTCTGATTTTTTTATTGGGCGGATGGTCAGGTGTCTTTGACTAAAACAACATATTAGGGTTGAGGATTCGATTCCCACGGGGGGCAAGTATGAAAAATAAAATAAAAAATAATGTATGCACTCACTAACTGTAAGTCGCTCTGGATAAGAACGTCTGCTAAATGACTAAAATGTAAAATGTACACAAAATACCCAATAATGACAAAGTGAAAACATGTTTTTAGAATTTTTAGCGAATTTATTGAAAATGAAATACAGAAATATCTCATTTGCTTAAGTAGTCACACCCCTGAGTCAATACTTTGTAGAAGCACCTTTGGCGGCAATTACAGCTGTGAGTCTTTTTGAGTACATCTCTAAGAGCTTTTACAACAGCTGGATTGTACATGATTTGCCTATTATTCTTTAAAAAATTATTCAAGCTTGTCAAGTTGATTGTTGATCATTCCTTAACAGCCATTTTCATGTCTTGCCATAGATTTCAAGCCGATTTCAGTCAAAACGGTAACTCAGCCACACAGGAACATTCAATGTTGTCTTGGTAAGCAACTCCAGTGTAGATTTGCCTTGTGTTTTCTACTGAACAAAAATGTAAACGCAACATGTAAAGTGATGGTCCCATGTTTAATGAGATGAAATAAAAGAGGCCAGACATTTTCCATACCCACAAAAAGCTTATTTCTCTCAAATTTTGGGCACAAATTTGTGTACATCCCTGTTAGTGAGCATTTATCCTTTGCCAATATAATCCATCCACCTAACAGGTGTGGCATATCAAGAAGCTGATTAAACAGCATGATTTAACAGGCGCACCTTGTGCTGGAGACACTCAACACTCACACAACACAATGCCACAGATGTGTAAAGTTTTGAGGGAGCGTGGAATTGGCATGGTGACTGCAGGAATGTCCCCCTGAGCTGTTGTCAGAGAATGTAATGTTCATTCCTTTACTATGGGCTGCCTCCAACGTCGTTTTAGAGAATTTGGCAGTACGTCCAACCGGCCTCACAACCGCAGACCACGTGTAACCACACCAGCCCAGGACCTCCACATCCGGCTTCTTCACCTGCGGGATCGTCTGAGACCAGCCACCCGGACAGCTGATGAAACTGAGGAGTATATCTATCTGTAATAAAGCCCTTTTGTGGGGAAAAACCCAGTGGGTGGGCCTATGGCTGTGACCCTGCCCAGTCATGTGAAATCTATAGATTAAGGCCTAATTTATTTATTTCAATTGATTGATTTCCTCAGTAAAATCGTTTAAATTGTTGCATGTTGCGTTTATTTTTGTTCAGTATAGGTTATTGTCCTGCTGAAAGGTGAATTTGTCTCCCAGTGTCTGTTGGAAAGCAGACTGAACCAGCTTTATCTCTAGAATTTTGCCTGTGCTTATAGCTGTATTCCATTTATTTTTATCTTAAGAAACTCCCTTGCAGATGACAAGCATACCTATAACATTTTGCAGCCACCACCATGCTTGAAAATATGAATGGTGGTACTCAGTGATGTGTTTTGTTGGATTTGCCCCCAAAATAACGCTTTGTATTAAGTGCCTTGTTGCAAACAGGATGCATGTTTTGTAATATTTTTATTCTGTACAGGCTTCCTTCTTTTCACTCTCATTTAGGTTAGTATTGTGGACTAACTACAATGTTGTTGATCCATCCTCAGTTTTCTCATATCACAACCATTAAACTCTGTAACTGTTTTAAAATCACCATTGGCCTCATGGTGAAATCCCTGAGCGGTTTTCTTCCTCTCCGGCAACTGAGTTAGGAAGGACGCCTGTATCTTTGTAGTGATTGGGTGTATTGATACACCATCCAAAGGCTAATTAATAACTTCACCATGCTCAAAGGGATATTCAGCGTCTGCTTTTTTATATATTATATTTCTCTACCAATCGGTGCCCTTCTTTGTGTTGGCATTGAACAACCTCCCTGGTCTTTATGGTTGAATCTGTGCTTGAAATTCACTACTTGATTGAGGGACCTTACAGATAATTGTATGTGTGAGGTACAGAGATGACGGAGTCATTAAAAAAACATGTTAACCACTATTATTATTGAGAACCCTGGTATAGCCTCTCCCTTTCCAACATTGCATGTACAAGCCTTCGAGTATGGTGGCCAGAGGGGATCTATCTGTCTGTCTTTCTTTCTGCCTCTGTCTGTGTAACGCAGCAATATAATGATGTTCATTACACAGGGAGATGTTTTCCAGACACACATTATTGTTTTGTTTTCCTCATGTGTTTGTACTCTGATCCAGGCAGCGAGGACAGTTTTAATATTCAGATCACACTGAGGGAGGTCTTTCAAGCTGTTGCTGAGCTCTTGTACGTGACCTGCTTGCCTGGTTGGAGCCGCTGCATCAAATCTGCATGGCAACAGCTGCAGTCTGTGTTGCTAGGGGAAAGTCTAATCACATGAACAGACCCTCTAGCATGTAATTGGTCATCCTGATCAACATTTTCTTCTCTTCATTTTTATTTTCACACACACACACAGAGACTACGTAAAGATGTATAAGATTTGGATGCAGTCTGATGTATTTGATCTCATACACATCTTATACACTCCTTTTTCCTGATTGTCCTACATAGAATATGTCATGTGCATATTTGTACTCTCACTATATGTGTAACAACATGCTTGATAGTCTTTCCTGGTTGAGGGTTGAAGATTGACTACTTCTCTTCTAGTCTTTTTGAGAAACATTTGGCTGCGTTTACACAGTTCAGATCTTTTTCCCACTAATTGGTCTTTTGACCAATCCCATCAGATCTTTTCACGTCAGATTTTTTTCAGAGCTGATCTGATTGGTCAAAAGGCGAATTAGTAAAAAAATATCAGAATTGGGCTGCCTGTGTAAACGCAGGTCTTGGGTTTCTTACCAGGACCCAAACCGAAAACGGATTTAATGAGTCGCTCAGTAATGTATAGAGCCATGTCATCGAGGAATGCACTGCCACAAGAGGCTACTCAGGCAAAAAGCAAGTTTAGCTTTAATAAAAAAACACATTGTATCACAGCGCCTTTCCTCTTTCTAAAGATCTAATTTAACTGTACTGTATATAAGTATATTAATATGTACAGTGGGGAGAACAAGTATTTGATACACTGCCGATTTTGCAGGTTTTCCTACTTACAAAGCATGTAGAGGTCTGTAATTCTTATCATAGGTACACTTCAACTGTGAGAGATGGAATCTAAAACAAAATCCAGAAATAATTGTATGATTTTTAAGTAATTAATTTGCATTTTATTGCATGACATAAGTATTTGATTACCT